AAGATGTGCTGGTCCCCTCCCCAGAGCAGCAGTGTTGCCCACAGCAGTGCACATTTGCACAGGAGTGCTCTTGGCCGAAACAAGAACCCAGCAGGATTCTGCACAGGCTGGAAGCCCCTCTTGCTCATTATACCTCTCCGCCTAGGGATAAATCACATAAATCCAGTGTACATTGATGCGTTTAAAGTAAGGGTTTTTTTCAGTGATTGTTTGTTGTGAAATAAGTTCAGGTATCTGATATATCAATAAACAAATCAACTCCAATGTCATTTTTCTCTCTTTGAACTCCTAGGAATGCTTTAAGATGCCACAGTCTTTGGGAGCATTAGGAGGGAAACCCAATAACGCCTATTATTTTATAGGATTTTTAGGTAAGGAAGAAAGAAACTTACTCTGAATATCCATAAGATATGAGATGAGAAAGAGAAAGGATTTTCCTTGGGAAGGGGAAGCAGTTCAAGTATGAGAGTGGAAATGAAGAAACATATGCTGGAAACTTCAGGAACAGTACGATTCCATCCTTACAGGAACAAAGCAACAAAGGTTGATGTAAAATAAGGAATGATATAAGCAGGAACAAGACACATAACATTCAACAAGTGTCAGGTGTCACTGCTGCTAGAGTACTGAATTTTTCCTAATGATTAATACTTTCTAATGAAGGATGTTTTGTTTTAGTCTTTTGCTTCAGAGTTTTCATAATTTACTTTCTCATAGCAGTATCTCTTTCACCTTCTTCCATGCCTTCCTTTATTAATTAATGCAATAGTTGATACTAAATTCAGTCTTTCAGATTTCACTCTGGTTTGATCCATAACTTTTTGGATATTTTGTTCTTCCTTTTGTAAAACCTGAGCTGTTTTAGTCAGACTTATTTGTTCCAATTTCTGAGTGAATGCCTAATGGGATTACAGATTGCATTTGTGGTCATCCTGTACCTCTTGATCTGTGGAATGTTAGGGATTACAGCAGTTGAGACTTTTAAAAAATCTGGACCTCACACAGCTAAAGTATGAGACAAAGGTACAACAAACCATCCAAAACATCTACCCTAACAGGTAACAGTAGGAAAGTATGTTAAATGCCCTGTGGGAAGCTGTTGTGCCTAACTTTCCAATTCTTTTAAAGACTCCTTAGCTAGAAAGTTGAGATATGGACTGTGCTGATAATCCAGTTTGTGTTTTACAAGTGTGGATGGAATAAGTGCTTATGAAAGCCTCTTGCTTATTATCACCATGTGGATTTTACCCCTGCAGGCAATGAGCTGATCTACTTGGACCCTCACACCACTCAGAGTTTTGTAGATTCAGAAGAAAACGGCACAGTTGATGATGAAAGCTTCCACTGCCAGCAAGCCCCACACAGAATGAAGATCATGAATTTGGACCCTTCAGTAGCTTTAGTAGGTGTTAGGAAATAGTAGACATGTGTACTTTATTCAAAGCAGTACCTCTGTGTATTGGTAAGGGCACTAACGTGTTTTCTTGATGCCAGCCAAGATCACAGAGCAGTCTGCTACGAACTAAAATTCAACACCTGGCATAGGATATGTGAATTTTAGGTCAAGCAGAGAATTGACTTGTGGATTCTGGGGAGCCAATTAATTTTCTTTCCTGAGCAGCCATTACCTTTTCTGGAAGTATTTTGAAGGTGACAGCAAGGAACTGAATCAGGTTTCCTTATTTTATTGCATCTATGCATGGTTGCTCTGGAGAAGATGCTTACCTGAGCTTAATTTGTTTTATGTAATTTACAAATCTTTAAATAGAATTACTTGTAGTAATTCTATATCCAGTATAGGTAACAAGAGTACTGTGGTAGGTGAAGAAATTCAATCTGATCACATGCCAACATCCTTTGGTTGGGTTAGGGGTGATTGTCACTTGAGATATAACCAATACATGGTCACCACAGCGTCCTTCACTCATTGACATATTGTAATTCCTTAACACTGCTATGTGTATTCTTTCCCTAGGGCTTCTTTTGCAAAGAAGAATGTGATTTTGATAACTGGTGTAGTCTTGTACAAAAGGTAATGCTACTATCTTTATTTGCTCTGTATGAAACCATGTTTACTGTTCTTTTTTTGAAGTGGAAATTCCCTGCCTGCAAATCAAACAAGCACCAGCAAAGGCTGCACTAAGGATCAGGGTAAGATGACACTGCTGAGCTGCTGATGGAGCTTGTTCAGCATTTTGCAGCCCTGAGCCCTGGCACTGGGAAAACAAGTCCATACATACCCTTACAGAGTTTGGCTTTTTTTAGCAGTACTGTGTTACTGGCTGATACTTAGTCATTTACTGAGAAGTACATTTTAAACTGCCATGTTGTAGCAATTTATTTATTTGTTTGCTTCCTGATCCTTATTTATTTTTTGACATAATAATATCCCTGGTACCACAAAAGATCTGATTCTCTCAGTGCAGAATCCCTCCTGCTGAACTGTGGGATACGAAGAAGGTGCTTGCTGCCACAGGAAAAGGACTTTAGGATATTTCTGCAAGCAGTTGGGATATTAAGCTACAGAAATATGAATGTGAAGTAACACCAACTTCTAAAGGCATTTTAAAAAAAAAAAAGGCTAAGGAAAGCAGCTTGTAAATAACTGGATAGAGGATATGATGTAGCTTACCTGATAGTGAATTGTGGCTTCAATAATAACTTGTTTCTTCTGATTGAAACCTATCTTTCAGAATCTGTTTGGTATTTTTTTGAGATAATGGATTTGTCTTTTGTTCTCATTGATCAACAGAAAACTTGAACACAGAGAGGTCCATGCAAGTAATTTTCATTTAAAAGGCAGAAAATACCATGTTCTTGGTGTCTGCTCCATGTAAACAAAATTATAGGTGTAAGGATATCAAAGCTTATAATAACACACTGATAATTTGTAGGAGAGTTTAAGAGATCCATCTTCCAGGTGTATTTCCAACTAGGAAAAGAGATCTGTGAAGCAGTGATTCATAGTGGCAGGTACCTGAAATAACAGGTGTTCACTGTCTGTCTGCACACAGCCTTTGTTATTCGATAGACATACATAATTAAAAATGTTTTTAATTAAGCAAGACACTTTTTGTTTTGTATTCTGTCCTCAGGAGATTCTAAAGCAGCAGAGTCTACGGATGTTTGAGCTGGTCCAGAAGCACCCACCACACTGGCCTCCTTTCATACCTCCAACCAAGCCAGAAGTGACAACCACAGGAGCAGGTGTGGTACCAGCTCCAAGTGCTGCTGGGCAGCACAGTGGTTCTCCTTAGCAAACAGGAGAATCATCACAGGTGGAATAACTGGGCTTTCCTGAGGATCAAGCACTCACAACATGATTATATGTCTTCTTCCAGAGTATCCAAACAGGCCACGTACAATTTACAATTCCTAGCACAATGTATTTTTAAATCTTACAAAATATTTCAAAGGCCACGTTCCAGAAAAATGGGGGGGGGGCGTTTGTTTTTTTTTTAAGTAAACAAAGTCAGGCATGTCTTTAGATTCTAAATTGTTTAATTTTTTTTTCCCAGAACTCATTGAATCTACAGACAAGCTATTTGAATTGGAAGAAGAATTTGAAATCCTGAGCGTATGAAGGAAACTGTGGTGACCCTTCTGAGTATTGAACATATTGCTAATATTACTGCATCAACTTAAATCACACAGCCATGTTAGCCCCAAAGTGCCTGAAATCATGGAGAACAGAGCACAAACACCTGGTAGCATCCAAAACTCCAACAGTGACAGTTCCTTCTGTCAAACAGCTTCCCCAGAGGGAAAGGCAGTGAAAGATTTTATAAGACCCTGAAAGGGAACCTGTTTTTAATGTGTGTCTTTCCTGAAGACAAATGGACCTCTGACATGAAGGCAAAAATATGTCTGTCAATGGGCTGTATGTTTGGAGAAAGGGATAACACAAAATGGGTATTTCTTGCTCTCTTATAATGCAATAGTTTAGTTCTTAAAGCAAAACAGTCTTCAGTTAAGGAGGATGTTTACTTCTGTTCCCTCCCATGGGCTGCATCGTAGAAAAAATGCATTGTCTTGTTTAAAAGATCGACTGGATCAGGAAAAAATCGTTTCCTTGTTAAATATTTTAACATGTATTTGAGCAACCACACTTTATTACAAAAATGTTTCTGTGAAAGGAACTATGTCTAACGTATACGTTTTGCAATAGCCTTCCTGTTCCTGGGAAACCTCAAGAGGAACAGGAGACTCAAATAGTTGATACAGATCACAACCACTGTTATAGTTATGATATATTTCACCTTGACCTTAAAATTCAATCATTAAAACTTAGGCTGACTTTTCTTTGGAGCTTAAGTAAGTCAAAGGTGGTTTAACTGTACCTTATTTATTTTTAAAAAGATTTACACAAGTTTCTCTGTTACAGCACTTTATCTGTGCATCTAATAAATTTCTTAAGCTTTTCATAGGTTGTATGCTGCTATATTTTGTTAATTTGTTTGTGTGAACTAAATATAACCCAGGTTATCTTAAAACTTAATATATAGGCATATGCAACTTACTTAATTGTTGGGTTTTGACTTGTTGCCTTTTGAAATCTGTTTTGGTAAAAGTGCCTTAATTCTCCAGGTTTATCAGAACAGCTGGTGCAGTTTTGTTTCTTAGGCAGAGTATCTCTCTAGCAGCTATAAGAAAACCAGCTCAGAATAAAGGCAAAGATCTTTTAATCCATTATGCAGTTCCTTTTTACTATCAGACAGTCCCCATTGTGGTCATTGTGTCACGACAGTGTAATGGACGTGAATCGCAGTTTCATCTTCAGCAATAAATGACAACATAGAGAAATCCTGAATGCTGTCTGCTCTCACTTGCACTTCGTGATCAGGGCCAGTGTGACTTCCAAGAAAATAGTCATAACTTGGTCACAGTTCACCTTGTTTGCCTTCAATGTTTATTAACCATGGTTTGGAAACAATACATGTAGGAAAAATAGAACTTTCTCCCCCCTCTCCATGGATTAGCTGCATGGTCTTTTTTTTAAAAAACAAAGCATTGCTTCTTAGTTAATATATGAACTTACTGTTCCTGTGACAGCAATTGCAGCCCTCTCCTCCCCACTAAAAAAAACAGCCCTTGCTCTGAAATGCTCAGTCTTGAGCAGTAACTGCTAAAAAAAAAAAGAAAAAAACAGTTAAAGAAACCCCTCAGTGGAGCAGAACAGGCTCGTTCCCCACCCGCCCCTGGCCATGGGGTGACACTCCTCAGAGGAGGCCTGAGCCCACAGAGCTCTTGAAGGATTCTGGGGTGGGATAAACTGATGGAAATGAGGCTGATGGGAAATGGAAAACCCAGGATGTAAATCCATGATCTGTCTGTGCCAGGACAGCTAAGAAGTAGGTTGGGTATCCTGCATGAAATGATTGCCACTCACGGGTGTTAAAATGCCTTAAGGATATTTGCAAAACACATCCAAAGCAGTTGCTGATCTTTCACAGTTAGGATTGAAATGAAAGAGTACATTGTCCTTCACAACTTCCCCGCTCATCTCCAGGGTGGTTCAACTCCAGAACATGCAGAGCTCTCTGCCCCCCCCGGAAGATAATAATGTGTTATGCATGTAATCATCATTAAAGGTAAAAATATTATCTGCTTAAAAGCAAGTATGTTCTTAAGTACTTTGCTGGACAGAGTTAGAGCCCTAGAACCTCATAAAGAAATCATACTTTAAAATAATGCCTCAGTCTTGCATTAGTAAAAATTGTCTGAATAATTTTAGATTTTTAAGCCAAGGTGACAGTGTATTTGCTAGGCACTCCTTTGAAATGTCCTTTCCCTCAAAATATACAAGGATAATCCAATTAGTGGCACTTCTCTTTAATTATGCCCTGAAGGAAAGCACGACTAGTTAACAGTGCGTACACTAGAAATACAATTTTTTAAACTAACAGCAAAAAAAGCCCAGAGGAAGCAGTTTACAACAGATTGTGACTGTGGGAGTAGAAAATGTACATCCCATACCCACTTACTCCCATGTCTGCATAAGCTCATGCGCCATCTAGTAAAAGCTCTACTTCTCAAACACACACAGCTTGAATAATTACAAAATAAATGCGCCAAGGCTGCCTCAGAAAGGAAATACATGTTCATAGTAATAAAATGTTTCTGGTGACTGCAGGTAGATAAGCACAGACTGTGAAGTCAACATTTTACCTGGAGTATATTTCAATACAAAGCTATGAAAAATACTAGAGGAGTTTTGGATTCATCTTCACATCAAAAACTGCATTTTTCGTAGCTCTTCAGGGTCAACTGTGGATGACAGTCTGAATTAGAAATGATTACCTGTCACTGGAGGAAGGAATGTTTCATCTGGATAATAAGCAAAGCACAACTTAATTGTTGAGTCTAAGAAAATGAGTTATCAACCATTAATGCATAGTGTTTCCAAGTCACCTACAACACACATAAATTTTAGCTAGTTCTGTATTTCATAAGGGAATGAGTCTTCACTCCCTTACACTAGACCAAGTACTGTTTGCAAAGACACCAATTAAGCAAAGCTTTGGAAAAGTCTCTCTGCATGATGACTGGCATGTGCCCCGGACACGAGTGGTGTGAGGTGTCAGTTGCTCTCCAGTCTGAACAGGGAACTCGCAGAGACTTTCTGAGGTAGCCACAAATGAGGGGAAAAAAACACTGAAGTAAAAGCATAGCACCATGTTTCATTCAAAAAGTGGTTTCAGAGCACTGGTCTTTCCCTCCTCTGTGCATGGTCAAACTCCTGGACTTGACACTTGATTTTTGTAGAATTCCATCTGTCTTGATTCACCCATCAAACACACACAAAACAGGTTCATGAATTTACCCTTCTTCAGTCAGTGATGGCTAATCTGGGGTAACAAGGGCTGTTAATGTAACTGCATTTCCATTCCTACAAGTTCTTCATGCACACCTGGCAGCGGCTGACCCGCGTCCGGAGCTGTCCCGCCTTCAGGGTCTCTGAGGGAGGGGCACTGACAAACTGCTGCGACTGCTCCACCGTGGTCAGCCAGAAGCTGTACTTGTTGGCAAAGTAATGGCACGTTCCCCGAGCACCGTTGCACTCAATGAACGGAGTAGCACGGAAATCCTCCAGGCAGGAACCAGGAGAGACAAGGGACTGACCTCCACCTTCTGCCCCGGCCGCCGTGTGCTGAAATAAAGATGTCGAGTTGAGTGAGCTCAAAGGAACAGAATGGGTGGTAACCAGGGGGCTCTGCCAGTTCTGGTGTTAAAAGGAGTGAAACTGGCAACCAAAATCATACCTTGGCTCTGTGTATGTGTCTTTTGAGTCAGGGCTAGAGGGGAAGAAGGAAAGGAATGTACTTAGGCTGAATTTACAGGCCTGGTATAATGGCAAACTGGCTTTTCACTTGAATGTTGGGAACATTTGGAAACAATAATGCTGACATCATGTTTTCCTAACAATCTTACACTAATGAGCCTCTAGGAGAGTGCAATGGAAAACTTTTTCCACTGAGAGAGAGGATTAAGTCAATACTGTAGCTTAATTGGCATTTCCACATTTAAAGGCATGAAGAACAAAGAATATCTGTGGCAATACAGAACTAAGGCAGCAGTGTTACCACCAAACCTGATCAGGTGCTAAACAGAACAAACTTCGAGAGCTACAGCACCTCAGCTGATAAAGAAGAAATGCACTGGGGCAAGAAGAGACGGGGCTTCAGGTTCCTCAAAGAATGGAGCCTCAGTGACCTCATCAAGAGGAGATCTAGAAATGTTTACAGCTGCCTTTGCATTAGCAGTAGTATCCTCACCATAAGGAAGGAGTATCCTATCCACAGGCTGCGCCAGCCCAGGGGACACTGTGGGATGGTGATGTCCTGGCTGTGCACAGCCACAGCCTGGGAAGGTGCTTCGCAAACGGAGCAACGACTGATGTACTGCGGGATCTGGACGCTGTCCACCGGCATCATGGGGATGGGAGCGGTGGTGGAGAGCCAGTAGGACTTGTCATTGCGGCTGGCGTAGTAGCACACCTCGTTGATGTTGCAGTAAATGAAAGGCATGGTGCTGAAGCGAGGCAAACACGAGCCAGCAAAACCTGGAACAATTGGAGAAGTGCTCAGACCAGGCATCTACCAAACTCCCCAACTCACAGACACCACACTCGTGGTGGAGGAGGGCACGAGTGACGCTGCTCCCAGTTCAGATCCAGGCCAAGCAGGCTGCCACCACCTCTGCTACAGCCCTCTGTGCTACCAGTGAGGATTGTTCCTTTGTTTATGCCTAAGAGAACTCTGTCAACTCACCGAGATCCTGGTTGTGTGCCTTTTCCTGCCCCTCCACGTACAACAGGCTGTAGCCGTCCCAGAGCTTATTCATTCCTATGGGACACGGTGGGATTTGGTCTGACTGACTGTGCTTCACTAAAGTGTATCCAACACCCACGCTGCGACCGGGCATTCCCGGCAAACCAAGCGAGCCCGGCTTCCCAGCAACACCTAGGAGACAGAAAAGGAGTCACTGTTACTAGTAACCAGTGTGGACATCAGCTGGCCCTATACCCCATCTTGGCATTGGTGTCACTGTGTTTATATCCATCTTGTACAATGAGGATCCCAAATTTTGATGGTTGTTATATGAATAAATGGACTACTTATCAGTTCCAAAAGCAGTCATTTCACAGCAGCACCCACCCATTCCCTACCTAATTTCATTTTCTTTGCCCAACAATGTGCATCTCTCAGTACAGCAGTTCCGAGGATCTCAAAGCACCAACCAAAAGCTAATGGATTCATTTTTGCTATAGTGCTCTCCAGGATAATATTCCTTCTCTTTCTCACTGTGCCTTTTCTCCTCTACTGTCCAACCCTCACAGCTGTGGTCACTGTGAATACTATATCCCTCTTTTACATCTTCCAGGTGATTCCCATATCCACAAAACACTAAAACCAAAAGGTGTTCAGAATTGTACCTAGGGAAACACCAGCAGTGACATCAACAATGACATGTGACAGAATTTTCCTCACTGAAGACTGAATTTCCTTCATTGCAAAGCACAAGACCACTGACATCCTCTGGTGTTCCTAAGGTAATTGGCTATTGAGGAGGATCTCTGCAGAACCTGAGACATAATTCTACTGATTGCTTCTTTTTGATCTGTGCTCCCCAAATCATCAAATTACCTTCAAATCCCTGTGGTCCGGGGGCACCCGGAGCTCCTGGATCCCCAGCTATGCCAGGTGTTCCAGGTAAGCCATCACGTCCTTTCAAACCAGATCTTCCTGGCAGACCTTTTGCACCTGAAATACAATACAATTATTAATATCTTCATTTCCCCATACTAATGCCTTCACTCCTACGATCATTTTCCAGAAGGGAAATAGGTTGTCAGCAGCCATGCTGAGAGCTCACTCTTCACTAGCTGTGGTTACAACCAACCACCTCCATAAGGGATTCCACCTGATCCAACTGTCTGTTAAAGGATTGAGAAGTGCACCTGAATATTACACACAGCTGAAAATGCAGCACTGACATCTCGGATAAGCGACCGACTTCAGCCTGAAGCCACATCAGACCTAAAACTCAGGTTTCAGTAAAAGAGAATATTAACATTTAAAAATCACCTAAATGGCAGTGATGAGAAAGCGACTTGTGGGGCCTTGGAGAGCCAAGAGGTGCCAGACCCATCAAAGTTGCTTTGCTAAACAATACAAATCTCAGGGCTACAGCCTGAAGTTCCCAGCACTTCCCCAGTTACTCTATTTCATTGACAATTCAAGTAATTCCTAGAGGTGAATCATTTTCATGACCACTCCACTTGCTAGGACCTGGTATTTTATGAGCTGCATCACAGACTGCTACATTTCAGTGATCTGAGTGTACTTTTTACCTGGTTTTCCAGCTGGGCCCTGGAGTCCAGGATCTCCATCAAAGCCAAGGACACCATCAATTCCTGGCAGACCAGGTAAGCCTTTAGGGGCTGTGACTTCTTCTGGCTGTGGGGTTATTCCTGGAGCCCCTGGTCTGCCAGGGAGACCTGCACATGGGGTAAATGACAGTGTAAATACCAACTCCCCCCAAAAAACCCCACAGTTTTGGTGCTAATCCTGATACAAAGGAGAAGAATGAGAAATTAAAATCACCTTTGTACATCAGCACTGGAGATCTTGTAAAAATTATGTCAAGCTCTTTCTAACTTACTTCAATCTCTAAAAAACTTAAGAGTCTCCCAAATAAGCCCATTAAGGGGGCTCTGAAATCCTCCCCAGCACAAACCACGTGCAATAAATTGCAGGTTTTTTAATCCTCCAGCACTCACCTCGACGGCCCATTTCACCTTTCAGCCCAGCATAACCAGGATCCCCCGGAGGCCCATCTTTCCCTGGCATCCCCATAAGGCCAGGCTCACCTCTCACACCTGCAAGGACACACAGCTGAAGGCTCAGGGGCTGAGCACGGGCTCCTGATTCCGACCCACAGCTGGGGCTCTGGGAAACACACTGGTGGCAGCAACAGCATTTTGGCTCTGAGATGGAGGGGAGCACAACCCTTAAGGAAACCTGTGCCCATTTTGACATCCAGAATGGCTGCAGAGCCTCAAGACAAGAAATTCCACTGCTACCTAACTACATTTTATAGAAAGTACTCTTCCTGTTCTTTGGGTAACCGAGGGACAGTGTTTGGGGAGAACACATCTTTTCTCTTTGGAATCCATTACTGTGCACATCACAGAGGCCTGTGGATCTGACAGCCTACAACGACAGCAGGTCTTCATCTGGCAATGGTTCTGCATCCTTTCCTGGCTTTTGAGCCCTGTGGTTTCTCTGAAACCTTGTTCCTGAAGATCTTGTGGGTAGCTGCCCTTTAGCCTCCTTCGGTATAAACCAAAGAGAGCAACATGTTCTCTGCCTTAGCCCAGAACATCTCTTAACTCCTACAATCCTCTTAGGCTCTTGTGGAGACCTAAATCCACTACACTAATGCCTCTGAGCATACAGGACAGGCGGGATGAAACAGCATCTCCAGTCTTTGCCTAAAGAGCACATGCAAGGGGGTAACTGTGGTGACAAGCACAGTGCCATTGCAGGTGGACACCATCTACTCAGAAAAAAACCCATTAAAGGTAAGAAGAAAAAAATCATTCGGGGTACACTGAAGAGCACCTGAAGCTGGCCTCACTTTGCTGCTTTTAGAGTCAGTAGGTAAAACCTGCATGAGCCAAAAGGGAAGATTTAGACATTTAGACATCAAACTCAGCTGTTACACCTGAATGAGGCCACACTAACCACCCAAAAGCCATTCATACTGGGGAGATGACATCTGCCACACCACACCCAGATCCTTTCAAGGCAAGATTACCTTTGAATCCAGATGCTCCAGGGAGTCCAACTGGACCAGTGAGTCCCACATCACCTTTAATGCCTCGCAAGCCGAGAACACCAGGGAAACCTGGATTGCCTGTGTCACCTTGGTCAGAAGCTGGGCCAGGGGGCCCTCGTGGCCCTGGTAGACCTGGAAAACCTAGAGACAGAGTTAATTAGGAAAATCTATTCCTGGGGCAAAGTAAATGCTGGGGCTACCCCCAACGTGTCTGAGGACAGTCACTGTTTGGGTGTCTACATTTCCAAGGGTGTCATCCTCCCAAAGGAAAGGAACAAGACCCCACCTGCTTATATCCACTTAGGTCTCAAACTCTTTAATCCTTTTAACCACAGTAATCCAGATTCAAATTCTGGGCCTGAGAGTAGCCCTTGCCCTACATGGTAGCTCCTGGTGACTCAGAAATTCCCTAGGAGAAGGAGAGTCGTGGCTTCAAATCTTTGGCCGGGGAAAAGTCTCAGCCTCCCCATCAAGGCTGTGAGGTACTGAATGGGTACCAATGCCATCATGACAAAACCTTCAAACTACACACATACCTGGACTCCCATCAGTTCCTGGATGGCCAGCATCTCCAGGTCTCCCACGTATATCAGAAGGAAGAGAAACTCCAGGTGTTCCTGGCAAGCCCGGCAGTCCCAAAGGACCAGGGGGACCTAGAATAAGAAACACAAAGTGAGAGAGTGTAGCCAAAGGTCTTCATGGATTTCAGACATGGGTAGAAATAGTGGCTGAGAAGCATTTTTATTGAGGAGAACAAAGAGACATCTCACTACACGAGGGGGAAAATTACACATTGTGCTGTTCAGGAGAGGTATGGAACTTTAAGACTGTTTCTCAAATAAAGGGCCACATCACAGAAATAACATTTATCTGTCAAACTTCTAACCCCCTTTGTGGCTTCAGGAGTTCTCTTTGGTAATTCTGCTGACCGTGCAACCCATTAATCACAGCTGCAATACATCTTGCTTACAGAACATCAATATTTACCCATGTCTCCTGCTGAGCCTTTTGGTCCAGGGAATCCTACAGCTCCTCTACCCAGGCCTGGAGAACCTTCTTCACCCTTTGTACCTGGGAGACCTGCAGGTCCTTTCAGTCCAGGTTCACTCAGACCTAAATAAACACGGTTAACAAAGATAAGAGAGCCTATTCAAACTGCCTAATAGCAGTTAAATTATTACACAAAGTAAGTGGTAATAAGAAATGAGCCATTTACTACTGTCTCTGCTGTTTTCAGTAGAGCAACTGAAAGAGAAGTGGTGCCTCACGTGCTACTCTGGTTGTGCAGAGTGAATTTATACAATCTGTGAGATGCTGAGAGAGAAGCACATGACTGTTCTGGTCTTCCCACAAGCTCTTGCACAAGAAAGGGAAAACCACAGTCCTGTGACAGGATTTGCCTGCCAGCCTGTATGGGGTGTCTCCCAAGAGGACACAACGTAGGCTCAAGCTTTTGGTCTTTAAATAACCTCGTGGACTTCGTGCTCCAAAACAGAGAGCTCAGTTTGCACAGGCTGCTGCAGAAGGCACACAGGCACAAGCAGGGCAGGGCAGAGGCTCCCAGGAAAAGCTGCAGGGAGATGTTCAGCATGTTACCCTGAGTAAACACTAAGCAGCTCCCTCAGGAGAATTGTGGAGGGATTATGCTGTAAATGAAATACGCTGTAAATCATTACCTTTTGATAGAGAATATTTTAAACAAAGAAAACACAGGTTATCATTTGAGTTTCACACATGAAGACTGTCCATTTTCATGCACAAAACAGCTGCCCCAAATTGTAAGTGATACTTTACAAGATATAAAAGGAGACTTGTAACTAAACAAGTCTTTTTGGTAAGGTCTTTCTCCACTTCTTTACATTTAGTGAAACGCTGTTTGCAAAATAGAACCATATTCTATTTCATATGATCAAAAATAAGAAAAAAAATCCAGCAAAAGCTTCCTAAAAGCAGAATCTGGAATATAATCAAAGCAATCAGCTTCTGATTTTACTGATGCCTTCCTTGAGCTCTATATAATGGAGGGCTCTGAAAAGCAATACAGAAACATTTCAACACTAAGCCCAACTCAAAGCAAGCATTCAGTGCTCCCCTGCTCAAATCAAACATCCATTAGAAATGGAAGAGTTTTATGATTTCACTCCATCAGTTTTCCAGCAGTGACACAGTCCTTCAGGAATTCAAGGAGAACCATCACCAGAAAAGTCTCCTCAGCTCCACAGGCTGCATCCTGTTCTTACTGGCATAGAAGAATTTGTTCATGCACATTCAGTATCCCGAGGTCTTTTTTTCAGGTCATAATTAAATCCAGAACTGGGTGAAATAGGGGAATTTTGTGGGAAACACTGCTCTCATGATGGAGCAGTGCATGCATTTACCCAGATATGACACTTCCACTATGCATTTCCTTTACCTGGTGTTCCAGGAGACCCTTTTGTGCCTTTCAAGCCATTCAGACCATTTAAACCTGGAAATCCATGGAACCCTGAGGAGACAATGGGAACACGTAAGTGAACAATTACCAAACAATCTAGTTAGATGGAAATGCATATGATGCTCCATGGAGAATACAATGCCTAAGGAAACCTGACATACAGGGGAACATAGGATGCAAAGTTTTCCTTCACACAAGCCCCCTTCATGGAAACTCTTCCCACTGCTCTCACCAATTTTACTCTCAGTGAACACCCATCAGTGATTCAGATCAAGCAAGAGCCCCTCCCTCTCCAACCACTCCTCTGCTCATTTCTAGCAGCTGGTGCCTGCACAGCACTGCCAAGAGCAGAGCTGATTTCCCACGCACAGCTGGCCCACACACCAGTGCTGCCTGCCTGCTGCGAGAAACTTGGCCAAAACATTGGTTTTCTGACCCAACTTCTCCCACCATCTGCAGGCTCCAGATATACCTTTAGGTCCTGCTGCTCCACGAGCTCCAGGGAATCCAACGGATCCTGGCTGTCCTGGAGGTCCTGGTGGCCCAGGGACTCCTCTTGGCCCAGCATTTCCAGGGATTCCTAAAAGCAAGCAGAAAAGTATTTCTGTACTATACATCACACCCAGGTTGAAACAGCTCCATCTTACAGCTTCTGTTCCTGCACTTGACTCCTAAGATGGATGAATAAACTACTATTTAAATAAAGCAAAACCAGATCCAAATCTTTCCTCACTATCATTACTAGCATTACACTTATTATATTTGATGGCTCTTTATTTTAATCATAGCAACGACATTCTTTATCATCCATTAAGTGACACGCTGAAACAGTTCACATACCACACAACTAAACTGTTTTTCAAACAAAATACTTCAATAACAACTTCCACTGTTGCCCAACCTTTAACCTTGATAACTATTTGGGAATCTACCTGCTAGTTACCCCACAATCCAAAGAAACCTGTAGCTGTCCTTCGGGGTAGGTTTGGCTCTAGAGAGGGAGCAAACAGAAGTATTGAGATGAAAGAGCTGTGAAGAAGCTGCTACTGCTTCTATCTAATGGAGGTCTTTCCTATTTGTTAATGGAATTCCTTTAGGTTTCAATCGTGCAGGATTCACTATATTTGACTGACAGAACAAGGTGACACCTTACACTAATGTCAAAGAAAATTCCCACCTTCTTGCCAACCTTCTTGTTTAAGCCTCAGCTAAGACAGACCAAACAGGGCTAAGGAAACATCAAGGTGAGGTTGTTCCAGTCACACCATGAGCTGCAGAACTGAAGAGGCCTAGTCCAGTACCTGCTGGCCCTTCTTGGCCAAGATCTCCTGGGCTGCCTTTGGGTCCATTCACCCCAGTGTTTCCTGGGTAGCCTGGTTCACCCTTGAGTCCTTCTCTCCCTCTCTCTCCTGAAAAGATAAAATCATACGGCACAAGTCAGACTGGAGGAAGGTGTGAAGAGGGTGAGAAATGTGATATGTTGAGGTTGCAGCACTTGTGTCTGCTTAGCCATGGTCTGGGCCCTGGGCTGGACTGCCAGGATGCCAAATATCAGCACAAGTTCACAAGTTCCTCCTCAAGAAGTGAAGTGGACTCAGCATTAGAATTGGGCTGGTCTCAGACATGTTCATTATCATCCAGATTTGTGGCCCACCTGGATTCCAGACTCCTCAAATCTCACTTCCAGGAGAGGGCTAAAGTATTTAAATTCATAGATTACAAAAATACCCAAATTTGGCAATGCCATCTTGTTTAGTCTCTAGAATTTTGCTCTTCAAGTGAGCAATCTAGGGCTATTTTACCTGGGAACCCTGGGTCCCCTCGCTCTCCTTTTGCTCCAGCAATGCCAGGAACACCAACAGACTCTCCCTGGTCACCTGGAAAAGAAAGGGAAGACCATTCTGTAAGTGATTATGGACAGAGGTTTCCAGAGCTCCTCAATGACCTTGTTTATGAAAATAAACCTTGCTAAACTTCAAATTCATGGAGCAAACAAAGACAACAGCAAGTGATGCACCTGAGTCTGAAAACACTTATAACCAGCAATGGATGCAGATCCACTCATGCAAATGCATTAGACAGACATTTACAGGTAATTCCACAACATCCTGCACTTCACACTTTTGATGTGAGGAAATGAGAGAAAAGGTGCCTCTTGCACTGTCCAACAATGTTCACACGGTGCTGTGGCCAAACTTTCAGTGGAATATAAAGTATTTAGGCTTAGGATGGGTCTTGTCTGAATGAAGCCCCTTACAAGGGGACATGTACTTTTGAGCCAGTCACTGGAGAGCAATGGACACTTCCAGAACACTGCTCATTCCTTTAAGTCATTAGTGTTATGACTGTGTATCCTGAAAGACCATGTACACTGTGAAAGATTTCTTACCCTTTGGACCAGGGAGGCCAATAGGTCCTGGGAATCCAAGTATTCCCGTGATGCCATCTGAACCCTGAAAAAAAACAACCCAACCAAAATGAGCCTTTGCTTTTTTATTATTGCTGTCCCAAATCTGGGTTATGTGGGATAACAGAACACAAATGTGTAGGAAGAAATACTACATTTGTAGTAATAATTAATAGTAATAATTAAATGACACCACTAAAGTGTCATTTAACAGTATGAGCCAAACAAAAACAATCTGGAAGTTTTGTAAGGAAAAATCCTGCCAGCTTCTGCTGCTTTGCTACAGAAGCACCAATTAGAACAGAGGATTCTGCTAAGAGCATCAGAGAAGATGAAGATACTTAAGAAGGTATTTACCCTCTCTCCTGGCATTCCTGGAAATCCCATGATACCATGTGCACCCTTCTGCCCTGGCAGCCCAGGTTGTCCAGGTGGGCCAGGGAAGCCTGGATCACCATGAAGACCTCTCTCTTTGCTTGCTGACCCAACTGGACCAGGGAGACCAGGCTGCCCACGGCTTCCTGGGATTCCTTTATCACCTGGGTTATACAGAAGAGTGTAATTTCAGTTAATAATACAGGAGAGCTGGCATTAGATCTGCAGAACAGAGCTTCAAAGGAAGACTGTTTTCTCAAAATTCAGAATTGCCATATGCAAATCTTGCTGAATGGGAATGGCAGAACAGAAAACAGTAATATTGCAGGCACCGTCAGAAGGACAGACCGTGCTGAACAACTGATACCAGCAACTAACTGCAATGTTGTGAAATACCTCTAGGTCCAGGGAATCCTCCAAGTCCAGCTAATCCAGGATCTCCTTTGTCTCCTTTGATTTGCAACGCTTGTTCTGAAGGCCCAAGAACAGGAAGACCTGGTGGACCTATATCACCTCTGTCACCTGAAGAAATAAGGAGTCAGGAAATCTTGCAAAATAACCGAGCACTAGAATAGCACTAGAAGCCCACAGACAAAAACAGAACTTCCATGTCTCCTGATATGAATTCATCAGTAAGTGCTCAGCATCTTTGTCAAACAGGCCAAAGCAATTCACAAGGAAGAAAAGAGCTAGAAACAAGATACCAGATACAGATGTCTCAGAACAGCCTCCCAAGTCCCTCTGCTGCACATCCAGAAAAACCATTTCAGCTGTTTCTCACCTTTTTGACCTTGAAGTCCCACAACTCCAGGGCTTCCTTTTCCTCCAGCTATGCCAGGAGCTCCTTTAAACCCATTCACTCCAGGGACACCAGGCAGGCCTGGCATGCCAGGAAAACCAAGGAGGCCAGAAGAACCTTTCTCACCTGTATGGAAATATTGAGAAATAGAAAGAGAACATTAGTCTCTCCTGGTACACTGCAAACCCACCTAGGTGGCAGGTAAAGGCTGTCTAGGTCTGGCCAGGCACCCAAATCTGAGTAGTCAAACTTCATGGCACAAGCACAGCACTGCCACTTCTTTCCCAGATCTCCATCCATGATGTTTTCTCCAAGTAACCAGCTACTGTGTTGCTGCTTAATGACCACACAGACTGTAAAGTTTAACTTCCCATTTGATTTGTGCTTTATTCTTTCCTTTTTTTCTATAAATTTCATTCACTATTCATAATTTCTTCATCTTTCTTGCCTTTCTATCTTGATTTACACAATCCTTTGTCCACAAGACCTTTAAGACAGATTTCTTTATGACCATTATTTGATGATTAAATCCATAATTCATAACTCAGCAGCAAAACAAATGCAGTCCAACACTAGTTGGGAATTCATTCTCTTCTGACAAGTTGTGCCTGAAATCACTATTAACAAGGTTATTTTTTGTGGGCACAGTAATCTCAAGACTGAAACACATACCTTTAGGCCCAGAGAAACCCGGATGTCCATCTTGACCAAAAGGTCCAGGTGGCCCCACGAATCCTCTTTCCCCAGGAGATCCTGGAGCACCATCAAGACCTGGGAAGCCTTTCATACCAGCAGGGCCTTGTGGACCTACATCCCCCGTCACGCCTTTGACTCCAGGAAGCCCTGAATCAACACAAGAAAGAACTCAATAGAGTATATGGCACAAACACCAGGACAATTTGTGGCAGCTTCCCAAGCTCTTTAAACACAGCATTGTTTTTAATGACAAATGGACCTTATGGCACATGCAGCCTACTAGAAGGTAGAAAGCTTAGAACTGCAAAAGCATTAGTCATCTAATAATAAAATACCTATGAAGAGGGTTACTGCCTACATCACTACACAACTGGCGAGAGTGAAACCCCTTATGATGTGTCCATTTTTGACCACTAACCTGTAGTGCACAGTCTTACCTTTATCATCAAGGCAGCCAAAATAGAATGGGGAGCACCATTAATGTCAGCTTCTGCCTCCTACCCCAGCCTCTGGGTGAACCAGACATCAACTGGAGAGGCTTGTTTTCACAAGTTTATTTTCCACCTTGGTAGTTACTCAAGAGCAAATTGCTCACTAAAGGAACAAGCTGATTGTGCTGTCACAAAACCAACACCATATGCACTGTTTTGCCTCTAAATGTTTCTAGCTGAAGCTTTGTAACAGTTTACAATTTTAAATAAAGGCTCAAACCACTGAAAACAGAATGCTCAGATTCAAAGGAATGAAGAGAAGGAAAAAAAAATCAGGTGGCTTCTGAAAAATGGCATTTACAGCAGTAGCACCCAGTATTCAAGCTTTGTTATACTTTGTTATAATCTTCTAAGCTACAACCCTGTATTTTTTGAAGCAGAAGATGAAAGGGCTGCCTTATTTAAGAGGACAAAGAAAACACACACACTTAAAATCTCTGCATGTTAAGGATTTCCTTATAGGCTTGTAGCTTTGTTACTGTCTGAGCATTCTCATTACAATGGTTCTTCACCCTTTGGTTTGATTAGCAATGATAAGGGGTATCACCTATGGTCAATGCAATTCTTGTAGCATTAAAAGCTGGGTTGTTAGTCCATGAGCTTTTATGCTACACTGCATTTTCTCACCTTGACAGCCTATGTGAAGAACCCATAACCAAACAGTGTGACATCAGAAATGGAGAGTTGATGATAAATGGAATAGAAACATGGTGAAGGAAAAAACCAACAAAAAATGTAAACAGAAAGAACAAGGGTACAAAAGAAATTAATGATTCAGAGAGACAACAGCTGCAAAAAAACTTGATTATTTGGAGCTTATCATCCTAGCAATGGGAGGTTTTTAAAAACAGTTGAAGAAAAGCCATATGTGGCATACAGATCATAAATGTAAAACAGTAGAGAGGCAGAAGGAATGCTAATATTAAAATTTAAAAAAAATTAAAAGCTCTATGATTTGCATCTCAAATTATGATCCTCCTTTCATTCATTTGTTGCCACCGTGCTCCAGCCCTGTCATTCTACATATCAGAACAGCACTGTTACATCCCAGAGTTATGTCCTAGACCATTATCTACCAATTCCCAGGTCTCTCTTTGCTTGGTTCTCCAGTCTGGCATATACTGTTACAAAACACTTTAGTTCTTTGCAGCTTGAGAGATACTCCTATACTCAAAAGCTGAGTTTTTTTCCCTCTCAGTAAAGGAAAATATATTTATCTCCTGCCCCAGTGAAAAGAAAGACAGAGAAGACAAGTGATTGTTCTGAGAAAGCCAATAATTTTTTGATCTAAGTTATGTTTCAAGCAACCACACACATTGGAAATTAATTGTCATGAAAATGGGAAATGAAGATTAGTCAATGATACAGCCAGCATGTAAGAGCAAAGATGTTAAAAATATCAAGACATTTAAGATGCTTTCTTCTTTCTGCTATGTTTTCTACAACATTGGGACAACATTTTTAGGCAGGAGTTGCCCAGAGTCCAAGGCAACAGCCTCAAAATCTGCACTCTGTTATCCCTAGCCAGAGGCAGGAACTCACTCCTAGCAAATGTCAAATCTCTCCCACACTTCTTCAACATTGCAGAGTTCAGCCCAGCTAGTGTCTGCACTTGAAAACATTACATACCTGGTGCTCCTGGAAGGCCAGCTGAACCCAAGGGTCCTGGTTTTCCCTTAATGCCAAAAGGACCTCCTGGCCCTGGAGGTCCCCGCAATCCAGGGACACCTGAATATCCTGGATGACCCTGTTCACCTTTAATACCCAGGAGGCCTGGTCTTCCATCTAGCCCTGGAAACAGAGAGATGTGAAGTTACAGAATAAATAAAGCAAAATTCACAATTTTAATTAAAAAGTGAGTCTCAATAAAAGCCTTTCAGTTGCATTAGATTCTAAGAGAAAACCAGCAAATTACCATCTGTGTGCAGCTCTGAGGAGCTGCAGTGCCTTAAGGAGATTGGAAAAGGTCTTTGAAAGACAAACAGTTTGATGTTTCCAGATACAAGAAGTATCAGTGCTCACCTTTTGGTCCTGGAAATCCAATATCACCTGTCAGCCCTTTATCACCTGGGAGTCCAGGTCGGCCACGCTCTCCCAGGGCTCCACTCTCAGCACCAAACACATCTCCAGGAGCTCCTTTTATTCCAGCTAAGCCTGAACCACCCATTTTCCCAGGCAAACCATCTGTTCCATCCAGTCCTGGAAGTCCTTGTGACCCTTGGTCTCCTCGAGGTCCAGGGAAACCTTCAAGAGAAAACCAGTAAAAGACACTCAGCAGAAGCACAGAATAGCTGCTTCCATTACCATCTCGAACAAAACCAACAATTTAAAAACTTCCACACAAGAAAAAGTTGCTTGAAAAGTTGCAGAATGTTTCAGTACCGAATTAGAAATGGTAACTGGTGATGGAAAGTCACCCCAGTAAATTCCCTCTTACCAGGTTCCCCTTGCAAGCCCATTATTCCTGGAGACCCTGGCTGTCCTTTAGATCCATGTAGTCCAGGTTGGCCTGGAATGCCAGAAAAGCCTTTGCTGCCTTTGGGACCTAAGGGTAAAAATATATTAATTAATAATACTAACAAATGAATAATGGAAGACAAAAACAACAGCACAAGAAAACAGGTTCAGATCTTTTCTGCAAAGCTGATGCTGGATACCCTTGCTGGATACACAATTTAAGCTAAACAAAGTCTCAAAGCTATGGCTGTTCATGAGCTACATAAACACAGAAGCAGAGGGTTTGTGTTCAGAGGCTACTTGAAAGGGAAAAAAATGGTGCAGTTATGATACTCCATGAGATCTAAGCCTAGTTACTTGGGAGAGAAAAAAGACATTGTTCTGCCAGTTAATGCTCTGGAAAAACTACCACTTGGAGGAGGATTAATTAGGAAGCATTATCTTTCTTGAGGAATAAGTGCTTCTTGGTAGTCAGCCAGTGCATTACATCAGTTGTCTCCCTACCTGGCAGTCCTGGAAAGCCGGGAGTCCCTGGGGGCCCATATGCTCCAGGAACTATGCAGGGCAAGGTGATACCTAAAATAAAGGAACATTGAGTCTGCACAAAGTCCCTTTCAGGGAGGAACATTTAATATCCAGATGCTTTTTACAGGACACATCACAAGTGGCTGTGAGTGAACTTCTCTGAGACGTTTCCTCTTCACATATTGTACAATAAAGAATGACATTTTCCAAAAAGCAAGCATTTGGGGTACAACTGACCTGGAAAGGGTAGTTGTAATTAATACTGTTCTATTCACCTCACATGGCCTTAAGAACTGTCTTGTGCAAGTTTTTCAAAGACACTTCTGTAAAATAGCACACTCTGTATTTTACATTATTAACCAGCAGTAGAATACTTGAACAATGGATATTTCATGTGAGGGTCACTGAAATGTAAATAGGACTGTTTCCTCGTGTGTTTTGCAAAATTATGTATGCAAGTCTTACTGCAAAAATTATATAAGCAAAACTTTACCTTCCCCAACTTAATACTCTACTTTATCACAGTTTACACAATAATATCTGAATATCAAGGAAATTAAACAATTATGAAATCATCGTGTCAGGCATAAAAGTGAAATATGGGCAATTCCAACATTTTTGGGTAATCTCATAATACCAATCTAGCTTTTTATAAAACACTGAGTTAGACTTCCAAAGCAAGACAGTTTCACCCTGTTTTACAGCATGTGACATGAACTTGAGCAAAATTTCTCAGTGGTGTCTTTGACATGGTAACTTCAGTAGGTCACAGACACTCTCCACATTTTTGTGATCAGGCCTTTCAGTCTGGACAGTATAAGAAATTTCTTCCATCCACCCACATTTCTTCAATATTAGATGAAATTTCCTACATCAAAGGCTCTTTTAATGTATGTAAATTATTTCCTAGTATGGAGGGAATGATGCATTCACAAGTTTTCTTACACATCTCTATGGAGGTGCAAACTGAAGTGGCTAATGACTTATTCACACTTTCCCACATATTTTGACTATAGATACTCTTCTACAAAGGACTGCTCATTGTTCCCAAAGCTTTGATGTAGCATTCATAATAAGCTGACTTCTGATGTGCTCCACAGAATATCTGGAGTTCACATCATGCACAGAGCATTGTACTTTTACTTATCTCACAGTGCAATTTTAATTTAGCAGATTCTGTAAGAGACAATTTACTGAACAAAGATGTAAGCATTCACAGCTATGAATTAGTAAAGCTTTTAGCATTTAGCATGTGACTTGAATTGGAAAAAAAGCTTATGCAGACTGTTCCTGGGGGACATTAATGCTAGCTGTCTCCTCACCCCATAACAACAACCCAGCATGACACTGGTGTGAGGTAATATGGCATCCGGCATAGCCGGCAGCCTTCCCAGCACTATTCTGGCCTGGCTCTCACCTCCCTCTGGGTTTGAGAGTCCTCCGCCAACTCCTCACACTGCACTGGTCTTACCATCAAGTTTCTGAACTCAGAACATCAGTTTATCAGTCCAGAAACCCATGCTACAATATACAAACCTATGCAAACCAATATACAAACCTACGCCTGCAAATACATTACTGATTCTGCATTATTGATACTGAAAGAATTACAAACCCAGAAGCCCAAATACACACAGAATGAAAAACACACTGAAAATCAGCAGTGACAAAGAAAAAATACTGCTTGTCTTTATTTATATTTAAATGGTTGACATGGAATCGAGACACTGAGACTAGTTCTCTGCAGTCATTTTGTTATGAAAGCATTTTCCATAAATGTTTAGATGTAACTCAATTTGAGAATGAGCATGAAACATCATATATGAAGCATTATCAAACCCATATTTACTTACTTTATCACTTGTCATTATGGTATCCTTTAGGTACATACAGTGGCACACCAACTAAGCCAACCTATAGTACCTGAGGAAGCAAACACAGCCCAGAGCTGGTTGCACCAATCAAAACTGAACTCCCTACCTGACTGTCATGACAATCTCTTATTCACCAACACCTGTTCATTCATACAATGTATCACAAATTGTTATTTTAAAAAAATCTGGAGCTCTTATTTCAATAGCAGTAATAGTTCTGAAAACTGATTAAGACATCTTAGATATCAGTGAGTTACTTTTTTTATCTGGACAATGAAGTAGGCTGTGCTTTTTTAAAAACCTCATATTATTATTCTTCCGAACTACCTTTGGTGTAAAATGATTCTCCAGCAACAGTCAGTGAGTAGGTCCACCTAACACTCTTAGTATTTGAGCACTGCTTGAGTATTTGTTGCTTATTATCTGTGTCCTCCTGAACATGACAACTTGAGAAAGCTGTGACTGCTGTGTGAGGTTGGTGAGCCCACGAACCAGTTTCAATTAATTTAAAGAGCAATCTTTAGCCTAATACAATCTTCTAGCCTGGCTACAAGCACAGCAGTAAGTCAACTGCCATTTGACTTGCAGCTTTGCACCTTTGCATGATAAGGGCAGACCCAGCAACACCTACCTGGAGGGCCTGGAAGACCTGCTTGTCCTGGAAACCCATCCACTCCTGGGTCACCTGGCGGTCCACGAACTCCACTAGGACCCGGATATCCAACACCAGGAGAACCTATTTCTCCACGATGGCCCTTGGAGCCAGGTAATCCTGGCAGTCCTTTTTCACCTGGGAAACCTAGCCCACCATCACCCTGTTCACAGCAAAGACAATTACAGCTGAAAATCAAAGATATATCATTTTTAAAAGTGCATAGGAGTTTCATTGTGCAAGGTTCAGATGAGCCTTGAAAAGTATATAGAAATGATTGTAAATTATCTATCTTTATTTTAAAATGCAGGAAAAATCAGTGACTATTCAAAAGAATATTTTATGTTCTATTTGCCAAAATGCAAATATCACATATTCTGAAAGACATTTATTTTCTTTTTAATTAAAATTTTCTGGTGCGATTTTTCTATTTTGAGATTTCTCTTGTAATTATGCCCCCAGTGTCTTTCATCTTTTAGGACACAATATAGAACAGAATTAGGGTCTATCCCACTACTGAAGTTTTTCTTTTGACTGGGTAGCCAGAGGTATAAGGATTGGCAATTATTAATCCTGACAAAGACAAATTTGTGCTCCAGGATGTTGAGCTTTTTATGTATTTGGAGATTTACCACAGGGCTAATCATGACCAGTTAGCTAGGCCTGGCCACTGTCTCTGCTCCTTATTCCAGTTTTGAAGCACTGCTGCTAAATTAATTTGGACTTACTGGAGGGCCTGGTGGGCCTGGCAAGCCTGGAAGTCCATCCCTACCAGGAGTTCCCGGGATGCCTGAAGGTCCTCTGGGTGCTGTCGCACCGCGGTCCCCACGAGCACCTTTGGCTGTTGCATAGGATGGTTCCCCTTTTTCTCCCTTGGGGCCTGGAAGACCTTGCTGACCAGCTGAAGCCTACACACCAAAAGATAAAAAACCCCCAGGAATATGAACATGCAGAGAAAAGGTTTTGCTTCTTAAAAATGTCATATGAGGAAAGGACACAATGACTGGAACTGGAAAGAGTCTCCAAAGGGTTTCCTATTGTATACATTGCACTGGGAAAAAAATAAAAGAGAGGTTTGATTATTTTCAACTGTTTCTACTGTCACTACAGCTTTACATGGCAAGACAAACCCTGGTATACAGCACTAGAGAGACAGCAGTCCTGTATGGCATCTGGGATCATTATATCACTCATGATATAACAGGACCCAAGTACTGAATCTTCTTCCCTATTCCTTGGTGTGCTGCATTTACTGACACTGATAAAGATACTCTGAAGCTGAAAGACTGGTATCTTTATGGACTACAATTTTCAAAAGTAAATACTTACAATGAGCAATGCTCAGCACTTTGGAAAATCCTGTCTGTTATGGTTGCTGTTTCATAAAAAACCCAGCTCAACTCTCACTACTGTAATTAGCATCCAGCAGTCAGGAGGCAGACTGCATCTGTGGTGCACAGTTTTTACAGCTATGAGCAATGATGTGGAAAGATCTCACCGTTTGATTTTTCAGATCTTCTCTCCATGCACATGTACATCTGCTTCCCCAGCCAGCCCTCACTTAGGAAGAGCCCTGGGTCTAATCCATGTATGGCTACATCCAAGAAGTCCTGGGGTGAATAACTGCTACTGTTTTTCTCTTGACTGATGAACGTGCAGTTCTCAGAACTTAAGAACCATTTCTTCTCCCATTTTTTATAGGCGATGCTGTCTCTACTTTCAGTTTCTTTTCACAGATCAGTTTCTAGGTTGCTCTTTTTTTTAAATCCAAACAAATAGAAGACATTATGGAAAAAAATAAAAATGTGTTCTGCTTTCACTACATTCAACACCAGCAATTGCACATGGGCACTTTTTCTCCCTTAATTCATGACAACCAACATAAACTCTTCCTGCCTTACCGGAGGGCCTCGCAGTCCTGGTGCACCCACAGTGCCTGGGTCTCCACCAATGCCCTTAGCACCAGGCACACCAGGGCTTCCCGATGGACCTGGTGGACCTGAGATGCCTTTTAGACCAGCTCTTGTAACTCCTCCATCACAAGCACAATCACCTGCCTCTCCTGGAAAATACAGTCAACACTCCAAACTCAGTTTCATTTGGATAAAGACCCTTTTCAGTTGCAAGAGCTTCAAAAGGAGTATTTGATTCCATTAAGACAAAGCCATTCTCATATGATTTGATTTTATGCTTCCTCTGCTCAGGTGATGAGAGTGCCAAGCAAGTGGAGCTCAGGTTTTCTCCAGCTGAATTTCTGTGCAATGCCCCTCACCAAATTACCATGTGCAGCATAAACCTCAGCACTTCTAGACCTCTTCCCAAAGGTTTAAACCTTCCTAAACAGATGGGTTTAGGAGAGATTTAGGGAAGTCTTGTTGGTTTTTTTAGAGATAGTTATTATGCCAGAGAAAGCAACTCCATACTCCCACTCACAGTAGGTTACAATGACTCTCATCTGAATCTTTATATTTCCCTGAACTGTAATGGGCCATGGATCCAAACAATCACCAAGCACAGTGGTGTCTGCATTATAATGGTTTTTGCTGCTGATTCTGTCAAACACTAAGATGCAAATTCTCACAAATTTTAGCACAGAAGAGAATAAAATTGAGTTTCTCTGTCATTTACAGCCTGCATTGCCAAAAGCAATGAACAAGATTTTATTTCTAGGTTTCACTGCATCTTATGGCTTTAAAGCATAACTTACTTAGCTAATTTTCTGGGTATGAGATATTTGGCTGACCAGAGCAGGAAGTAAAAATAGGATTTTACTAGCAGTGCTGGGCACAACTGTCTAAATTGTAAAGGCTGTTGGCTCCTTTAACCCAGCTCAACCTCCTGTGATTTGTCATAAAGACACATCTCATCCCTTAGAATATTAACCACATGTAAATGCATTTCTGAGGCCCAGTGACAGCTGAAAGGGTGTCCCAAAACAAGAGTCATTTACCTTTGTAGCCCTTTGGACCCAAAGCTCCTGGAAGCCCTCTTTGTCCAGGCTCCCCTGGGGCCCCAATCCTTCCACTCAGGATCATGTCTGGGGAGAATGAAGGGCCTATATGCAGAAAGAAGGCAAGAAAAAGCCATGAAAAGGCTAATTTCCAGCTCATTACTGACTTATAATGTCACTTTTGCAGCTGACAGAAATGGCACTGGATGAAACCACAACTGTGGAAGTTACACAAGGAGGTGGAACTTAGTTGGTATCATGGGTTGCAGTCCTCTGCCACGTTTGCTTCCAGCTCCTCACACGGAAAACCAAAAGCTCTCACAACGAGGATGAAACAGAGTTTTATTCCTCTGCTTTGCCCCTGCACCTTTTGGCACCTTAGTTGGCTAAAGAACTCACCAAACTGTGAACAAAGAAGGGCAAATGACTTCTCATTCAGTGGCTGCAGCTCAGGAAAGACACTAAATGGCAAAAAGGTTAAGGGGACTTGTCCTGTCCCTCACTTCATGACTGCAGGATTATTTTCTACATCTGTTTATATGCTGAATAGAATGAAACACAAGCTGACGGAAACAGCAGTGGAAAGTGATCTAACATAATCTAAAACTACACTGTCTGAAAACCCTTCCCCTCAGTGACAACAGTAAGACCAAGTGCTGACCAGCACCGTCTGATGTGCCATGGAAACAAACTGCAACCATCAGCTAAACACAGCTACAAGAGCTTTACAGACTCTGCAGAAAAGTGAGCCAGATTTGACTAGCAAACAGTTATTGATAAGAGACCACTTATTTCTTCTGCACAGAAAACCATTTCATCAGATCATGCTCACTGGCTCCATCACTGGAGTGTGTCCTGTTTTGAAAGGTTGGCTCTCAAAAATAAAACAGGCTGTTTGAATGCAGCTTATGGCAGAATGGTAAAACACAAAGTTTTGTAAAATCAACCCTTTTCATGTAATACTCAATTTCTGAGGAAAATAAAACAATGCACAATTAATTAATCAGGTCATCTATACAAATGAACATGTAAAAATAAAATCACACTTCATTAGATCTGAGAACTGTCTCTTCAGGTATCCTATCTGACCCCTGGTACCCAAAATACCTACTCACAAGACAGACATTTATCTCAGGTGTTCATAAGGTCATGGTCTATTCTTTACCTAAGCTAATAAGAGACTAGCCTAGAACTTCAAAGTGTCATAAATTGTGTTTACATAACCTTATGCTTCAGTCTCTCAGGCTACCACTCTTAACAATAATTAGCTCTATTTTCTTACTTCATAGGAGTGGCTCCTGATATATTTACGTTTGTGGGTTACAATCACAAAGAGGTGTCAGTCAAATATTTAAGATTTACTAAATACATAAATGTGTCCTGTTTCACTCTGAATCCAATACAAAAACAGATGTAAAAAATATACATACGTGGTGGACCAGGCAATCCTGGTGCTCCTGGCAGACCCGGTAAACCACCTCTGCCAGGAGGGCCTGGTAATCCAATTGTTGCTCTTCCTGGTTCTCCCACTTCACCCTTCACACCTGGAATACCTGGAGACCCTCCAGGGCCCATTCCATCTAGATAATAATGACACAATGAGCAGCTCTCCAGCAGAAAACACATTCTAGTATTTTTAATGCTATGAAAATTACTGTTGTGCCCTGAACTACAACCATGTTAGCACAGAACAATTTGTAATTGTACACAAAGGAAAAAGTACTGATTGGAGGCACCAACTGGCTTAAATTTACACACTTCTTTGGTCATCCAAAAAGCTTCACAGCACTGCATTTAAGTCCCACTAATCAATTACACAAATAACTATGTAAGACAGAGAGTTTTATTTTTTGATTTCCTTTCAATGAGACAATTTCCTTAGTAGTTCCTGGATCATTGCAGGCCAGATGACATTCAAGCGAAAAAGATCTCTTTTGAGTGAGATCTTTGATGGGGCAAATGGGTTGCACCAGCCATGGGCTTATCTAGACAATCTGTTAGCTCTTTACTGCAAATATGAAAAGTCATTAAAAAAATTTCAGAAGCATTCACTAGGATTTAAAATGTAGGAAGGGTTCTGCCAACCAACTCAGACAAAATGGAAATCAAACAACAGCCTCCTGTGCACACTGCTACACCAAATAGTCGCACATGAACACTTACCTGGGCTGTCATAACTGTGGCACTAACTCTGCTCCCATCCAAATCAACACAAGTGGCTTCCCTGTGTGACATCCCTGCCTCCTATTTCTCATACAGCAGTCTGCAAATCAGTCAGCTGAAGGAGCAGGGACAGGCTTGCTCCAATACCTTCACCATCTCCAGGCCGCTACTCAAATAATTCCCAGCAAAAAACACAGCAAACAGCTTGTAAGGGCACTGTAAGCAGCTGCTTTACCTATCTCCAGGCCTGGAAACCCTGGAGCTCCTGGAAGGCCTGGTAAACCACTGATCCCTTCATCTCCTGGAGGACCAGGTATTCCCGGGTTTCCGGGGTCACCTGGTGCACCTGTTAGACAAAGAGGAAAACAAGGAAGAAAATCTCAGAATTTTTGCCAAAAAACTCTTCAGTCAATTCCTGTAGTGGCCACTGATCTCATGGATAGCAAAGGCTGCCAAGCTGTTAGCAGGAAGCCTGTTAGTCAAAGTTAATAATAATGGGAAAAAATCCTCCTGAGCTGTTATAGAGGTTGTTTCAAACTTGACTACATGTGAAGGAAGAAGAATAGGAGAGACCATACAATTTGCCCCCTTACCTTTATGGCTTCACAGACTGTTTCCATTGAGGCCTCAATCAACTGTGGTATTAATTAAGCTCATTTTCTCAACAATATTCTTACCACATTGAACAATAAATAACAGCAGAATGACATTCAGAGCCCCCATTACCAAGCAACACAAGGAAGCCACTTTTCCTTGGTACACTGAAGATGGACAGAGCAGACACAGCACAGACCCTGTGCTCACAAACAATCTGCCTCCCAGGCACGAAATTTCAACCTGCCTTGAAACAGATCATCCTGCAATGTGAGGATGAAAGGCTTTCTGTAAACTCTGAAGCTATAAACAAAGGACCAAACATATCCCTATGCCAACAATACAGAAATTAAAGGAAGAATAACAAGGGATGGGTTAGACCCAATATACAATGTGGAGAAGTGGTAAAATACAGTAAGAAAGAAACTTGGATCAGAAAAAGTACTTTAGATGAATTCCAAAACAAAATGGAAATGGGTACCTGAAATGACTACACCTTCCCTGTCAACAATGACAGGAGGGCCTGGGGGACCGATGTCACCTAATTCACCCTGCAGAGAAAACAGAGTCATGCCACACTGAGATGGGTGATGGAGAGGAGGAGTGCTTGTCAGGAAACACACTGTATTGTGGTACCAATGTCTGTGATCATTCTCTAACCATCACTCCTTGTGTTGGTGAAGAATTCACTTTGTTCCGGTATTCATAATCATCTGCTGTCCTGACTTACACCCTCCTGTCTGATGAAGCTGATGGCTGCCTCAGATAAGATGGTTGCTACTATCCAGCTATCCTCTGAAGGCATCCCACTACCTCCATAGGAAGCATGGACTTGTATATACAATGTGTGCTGGAGACCAGTTAATTTATCAGCACATTGACCAATATCAGGTAGATGATATCTGTCCACCTTGTGGTACAAGTGAGAGAGCTGCTATGAACATACTCATTTTTAAAAGCATCCATCACTGCAGCTATCTGCTGCCTTGGAATCCTGAATTTCAATAATAGGAGCTTCCATGAAAATGTATTGCTCCATAAAATCATCCAGGTAGAACAAGCAAGTTGTGACAAACTGCAGTGTCACTCCGTCCTCTCACTGATACTCCCAGAGAGTATCAGATCCTCTTTGAAATAGCAAGTGCAAAATCTGACTGCTGTCCAAATTACCATCGTATTTATCATATAAACACCATGCAGTGAGCCAAGGCAGTACACATTTGTTGCTCTTCAAGTAATATTCCTTTGTACATAAACCTCTACTACTACATCTTCCATGTGCTTTGCCCTTCTGTACTTGTATTTCATGTCTACCAACCACAGAGCGATCTTGGTGGCAGATCAGTTTTTTCACAGCAAACTACTATCCAATCATTTTCCACTCAGTTTACAGCTGTCTGACTCTTTAAATTGTGAGATACCCAGAAAATGTCTGCTATGCATTGTCTATCTCCAGTACGATGAATTGAACACATAATTTTCTACATTATCAGATCTAAGATCTCAGACAGTCTTAACAACTATCTTAACATTCACTTACTTCCACCTAATCTTGCCTCAACTGTCCAGTAAATACAGCATTGGTGAAAGGACAAAGGAGACCAGAAAGGTCTCCTTACAGTTCTAAGTCATAAAGTTGCATGACTGAACATTGAAAAAGTATTAAAATACCACAGTTCAACAACCAATCACTTTTATGCTTAACAATAAAGTAAATGAGGAACTGAAACATACTGAAAATTACAGTTATACAGAGGTAAGGAGAAGGTTTAATTAGGGCAGCAATACTTATTTATTCATACAAATATCTTTAAAAAAGCAATGCTTTAGTGAGAAGTTACCTTCATGCCTTCTACTCCATCCAGTCCTGGATAGCCTGGAACACCTGGATGACCCTACAAAATCACACAGGGAACACTGATACAGAGTGAGACAATAAGTGGCATTATCTGTTAGCTGAGACATCTCCAGTGCCTGGACTTGAATCACAAAACCAACTCATTGTCCTACCAAACATCTGAAGAGGAAATAAAGAGAAAACTGATGGCATCAATTTCTCATCATTCACAAAATATCAAAGCTCCTTCAGGCCTCCCTTGCTGTAAAGATGGTGAGAACCTATGAGCAGGCATAAGGATGTGCAAGTCAGGAGGACACCTTGGAGTTTAACTTCAGTAATTTTGAAAAGGATGAACATCAAATATAGAAGAAAGTGACTGAACATGCAGGGTTAACTAGAGAGACAGATCAAGAGATCTACAGTTTTATATGGACTTTCTACTTAGCTTCACTATTTTAATCCATCAGAGAACTTGGAGCCACTAGATAAGGAAGTCAGTAAACCTCAAGCAGTTAGATGGCTTCTGTAACTGTAAGCACAGTAAAAAATAAAAGAAATCTCACCTTTCTCCCTGGAATCCCATCAGATCCATTCAGTCCCAAAAGACCCTAGAACAGCCAAAAAAAATTAACTTTCAGAGGCTTCATCTCAGTTTCATCTTATTAAATCAGGCTCCAAATATCTCAGCACCAAAGAACGAAAAGTTAAAATTTTCAGAAGGAGAAGTTACCACTGATTTTCCTATCTCTCAAATATTAACAATCATAATGGGAAGAATTTAGCAGAATAATTGATAAAAGAAGTCTTATCTTATTGAGCCATTGTCTTTCTAATTGGCAGTTCAAGTTAATTAGGTCATGGTGTCTCAACTTCCTAGGAAGTTAGGTAGTTAGCTTCTAATTATAAAGCCATAAATGTTAATGCAGTCAAGACTTTCTATCTGACAATTTATTCTGCATATGCAGAACAGAATGCCTTGGTCTTCCTGTTGTCTATAAGCACATGTCTGCAGGGTCATGGTGGTTTGAAGAACCTATGGCTGGCGTGTGCCTGAGCATTCTGGTAAATTCTACATTCACTGACCAGACAGACCAACATCTGTTGCCAGCTTGCCCCATTTTTTACCCAAATATCTATCTGTGTTCTCTCATGGCTGATTCTGGCACTGGCTAAGAGCTCATTAAAGTACTTGCAAGGCCTCTTTATTATCTTCATTTGGACTTCTGAGAGCTTCCTTTTCTGTGAAGCTTTCAAAAAAACTGGAAAAACACTGGCCCTGCAGTATCAAGCCCTCCACTCAATACTTCTGTATGACTTTCTTGGGCTACCTTGTCTGTGTACATCTTCATCTCACCTTTAATCTGAGGCTTTATTGAGATAAGACTATCTACTGGTTCTCTTGTTGTATGGTGCTGGCTACTATGGGACTCAGTCCTATGTCTGAGACACCTACATGCTTTGGGAATGCTTCTGTTCATGAAAGGCCCACTTCATGTGTTTAAAAACAGGCATTTAAGGAGCTTGTGAAGTTACCTACCCTGCCACCTGGTAAGCCAGGCACACCTTTTTCTCCTTTTTCTCCAACACCTCCAAATCCCTGAGGAAAAATATCAACATTAAATCTGTGTTCTGTTTGGAACTGAACAGCACAGCCCTAAGTAAAGTGAGCACAAACCAATTTATTAATATAAACAGTGCAACAGAGAGATAAAGGGAACTGACTGTTTCTGCTGGGACTATTTTGCCTCAGGAAGAAAACCTCTATCAACCAGACTTGGCAGGATGTGCAGTACAGTACCTTCTTCACTCCCCAAGACTTTCATCCATTTACACCATGGTACATATTTCAGTTGCAAATGCAAGGGGCAGCAAAGACCTGCCAATGCTACTCTGTATTCCATTCTACATTTAAAAATTATTTGAAATCTCATTTCTTAACACTGGCAGCTCAAGGGAATGTTCAGAGCATGTTTTTCACTTCTAAAGCCTCAGAAAGACACAAAGCTAGCATTTTCACGCTCAGCATTTGGAAATGTTTGCTGGCTTTCCCAGTCAGCAAGAAGTATCAAATCCAGAGACAGAACACCAGGATTTAATTTCAGCAAAAGTTACAGTAGTTAAGCAATTTTCAGGCTTCAGTCTTAAAATATCTTATGGTTGAGGTTAAGTTTGCACATATGTTCAGCTTCACCAGCTTCAATGGGTCTCTTGTGATGCATAAGGCTAAACATGCACATAATGGAGTATGTCCAAAGAGGTTAATAACAAATTGTACTTCATGTACAGGTTTTTCTTGCACGTATTTTTACTAAGAACAGCTGTACATTGAAGAAACTGGCAAACAATTTATCTTATTAGTCAGAAGTTTCTCAAAATATTTATTCCCTAAACTTAGCGAAACAACCTCTGTTTACAAAAGATTATAAGCTGGGAAATAGTTCTCTGGAATCCATGGATAAATTGTTGCTCTTGATTCCTATAGAGAAGATGCTTAACATTGCTGAGTTTATGAGCACTAATGTTAAACAGCCCATTTTAACTGGGTATATATAGACAGACAAAAAGATCTGCATGTGCTTTACAACTTTAAAGTAAAATAACAAAAGATGTGTTTAGACATAATTAAAGGGGAAAAAAAAGAATTTTTAAAGACGTCTGTGGGCCATCAAGGAACACTGCCATCAAGTGGCCATGTCCCAGGTACAGCTACGTGCAGGTTTCCTCTGAAATGTTGGCTGCCTTCTAAGTGGATGGTAGGACAGCATTGTCTTCCTTGTATCTACAGCACAAAAAACTATCAGATTAGAGTTTACACTCTGCAAAAGGTCTTGTGGACATTCTCATCAGATTTTCAAAGTTCCCTGGTACCTTAGAAACTCCTGTGGAGATCTTGTGAGCTATTCAGAGAGTGTGGAACCATCTAACTCATAGTAGGCAAATATTAAAAACACTTCTCTGTCCTTACCGGAATGCCAGGCAATCCTTTGTCTCCAGGTAATCCTTGAGGGCCCGGCTCACCCTGACAAGGGGGAAGAGATAAGCACAATAAATCACTGTGCCTGTGAAAGCAAGACTTTCCCCAATCCAGCCCTCATGCTCCTGACACCTAAAGCAAGGCCTTGTAAATTGTTTATCAGCAAATACGCTGGATTTGTGTCACCATGTACCAGACAAAGTGTCTCTCAGCAGATAGACAGGTCCCAGATTAATTCAATATGCCTAATTTTAATGTGTGTAGAGAATTTTTAACAAGATCCATACAGCTTTTATAAAAACACTGATGACCTCAATATGTATCTCAGCAAATTCCAGACTAACAAAATAAAGGTGAGAAATCTGATTGTTTCAGAGTAGTGTGCACCACAGCAAGAGCTGGAGCTTTTATTTATTTTTCTAAATTGACTGGAGTTTTTCGCTTCAGTTGACACAATTTCACAAATCCAACAAAACCATACTACAGTTCATTTATTTTTAGGATTAATGATGAAAACCTCAAATAGCTTTCAGATTTCTCCTTCTGAGAGGTGTGCATTCTGTAGCGGCCCACAATGCTCTGAGCTAAGAATATTTTTATTCAATAGCCATTTGACAGAACAAACTAGTACAGAAATTCTTTTGATTTGGAAATGAAGGAGTTCTCACTGTCCAGTAATTTTGTTAATTCTTGAGTGAAGGAACATGGGGAGGGAGATGGTCTGTAGAACTGCATTTACAGACCTTTTCTCCTTGCTTTCCTTTTGGAAATCCCATGAATTCCAATATTCCAGTGGATGGTGGGGGACCTGGAGGACCAGGCAGCCCTACATCGCCCTGTTGACAAAAGAGAAAGATATTAGGATATGCAGAACATGTTTAATTTTCTATGGAAGTGACCTACAAATCAGAAGAAAAACAATACTAATTATATCTCATGAATCTAAATCTGTGTGCCTGAATGCTGGCACAGGAGTTTGGTCATGGAAGTCAGAAGTTCAGAAGGAAAATTAAGATGACCAAAATGCATTTGTTTCCAAAGACTTGTGGGCATAAAAACATGGCAAGGGAAAAAAAAAAAAAGAAAAGGTTCAGCACTTAAATCAACAGGAAAACATTCCAGAAAAACTTTGGGGAGGAATATCAAAGAAAAGAAGGGAAGGAACTATTAGATATGTAGAATGCCAAGAATTAATTTTAACAGCAACAGAACCAAGTCTCAAATTGAGAACTTTAAGAAGCCCCATTATGCCAGTGTAAATTCTCATACAGAATGCAGGACATCCATTTAGGGTACTGAGACAATACGTTGGTTGACCCAAAGAATATCATGAAAGCTAAAAAGAATGAAGTCAGTGGAATAATTCAAAACGAGATGAGGGTTAAAAGCAACTGAAAGAAGGAGATTGAAAAGATGTCTAAGGACCTCATGTCTTGATAACCACAAAAATACTCAATATTTTCCCCTTTCCTCTTCTTCACCCAGAGAAAGCTCCTATTCTTTTTTTGTGTACCAACAGATAAGGAACCAGCAAGACTCTTTAGTATTTGGACTGTTAATCAGTCCAAGGGAGGAAAAGAAAAAGGAAAGGAAGAGAATGCTGGAATCTAGCAACTTTCTAGAGGAATAAGCTGTGATGGAACACTAGAGTATTATTTCATGCTCCCTCCATAACAGAACAAGTTTCACCTACCTTTTCTCCTTTCTCTCCTTGAAAGCCTAATCCCATGTTACCCTAGGAGAGGAAAAAAACCAGGATGAATGAATAATAAAACAACAGCAACAACATCATCACCATCCTCTAGGCCCACAGCACTGTTAAAAACACAACAATGAGGTGTAAAAGGAAGACAGGAAAGGTAGGTACTTACTTTTGGACCTGGTGGCCCAGGAGGACCCACTGGACCCTAGATGTGAACAAGAGCAAGATTTTATTCCTCTTGACTTAATTAGGATGCAATTGGAGCAATGCTGGGATCTGCAGTGGTACCTGAACTTTCTTGCCTCCAAACCAAAAGTGATACACGTGGTCTTAAGTCTTCATATCTCTACTAGCACAGCCCTTTGACACTGTCCTTAATTAAGAGCAAACTTCAACTTAAAGTGAATAAACATAGCTTGTTTTTATCTCTTCCAAATGGAAACTCTCTTGCAGGATCTTGAAAAAGCAACTCTAGCATAGTTCAGGATAACAAAGGCTCCAAACATGCAGAGATCAGACTACTCCCTCTAGTCCTGAGACCAGGAAGGGCTCAGAACAGTATAATGGAGTGTTTGTACACAGCACCCTAGAGCTTTGCTGGAGCCCTCACTCATGATTGTTGCTCTGGACACTCCAGAGAGGAGACCTGTGATGAGATTAAACTATCCAAGACTGAGCATTCTGTGCTTGAGTCAGCTGTGCTCAGTCCTTTCAGATGCACACACACTTTTGCTCATCGTCAGGACACAAATACAGACCAGGAGAGAAAACTACCAAGAGTTTGAACTGTTCTATCAACAAGTGCAATGCTTGAGGTCTCTTACCTGCAAACCTGGTAACCCTATAGGGCCTGCAGAACCTATTGGACCTGGAAAACCTTTTGGGCCCTACAAGGAAAACAGAGGACAAGTAGTGAATGTGCAGCATTTATCCCATCAAACCCCAAGCGAAGATGAAGTGAGTCCCAGGAAACAATAAATAATATCCCCTAATTAAGTATGCCAATTTAAATACTGTAACAATCTATTTCATATGATTAGATGTATTTTGGAAATCAAAGTTACAGAGTTCAGTGGTAGAAGGGAGTTTGGTTTGAAAAAGGATTAATGGAATAGATAATTCTGACGTCTTCTACCATAATATGGATCCACTCTTACCATTACAAAGCTGGAACTGCTCACAGTACTGCTATCACATGTAAATACACATCCCACTAACCTGAAAAGTGTCCTTGAGAACCAATACATGAAAATGTACCTACTTAATATTCTTTAAAATCACTATTTCCCAAATTAAATAACTTACAGGAATTCCATCCAATCCAGGAAGACCATTTTCTCCCTAAAAATTATAAATGAATGAGTAAAAATTACACAGGTCAAGCACAATTATCAGGTCAAGTGTAAATTGGAAAATAATTTGAAATCTGTGCTACCATATTTGAATTGGGTAATGGAGAGCTTCCAAAACTCAGGAGAAATTACAACCATTTTATTTATGTGTAACAAGAGAAAATGAATTTAAAAAAATTATTAACTGTAAAAACACTGCAAAACACACCATGAAACCTTCCATTATAAGACCACTATAAATTATGCAAAAGCATACCATTATAATATAAAATTATCCATATTTCCCATAAATATAGAAGTAAATAAATAGAGACCTACTTAACTTTTACCAACTTATGAGTGTATATAATGGGGTAGAATTTTACAAGAGTTCCTAATTTTGACCAATAAAGTCAGCGTGAGAGGCCTTATATGACAGAGGAAATTTCTTAATATTTTCAATATTTAATGAAGCATAAGGCTGCTAAATATTGCTGAATTCAGTACCATAAGAGGTACTGAATCTTTTGTACATTTATTCCAAAGTTAGTACTTCTGGTAAAAATCAAAATCATGGTAGGTTGGCGAGTGTTTGTTTCAAGGCAATAAAGAAACAAATTTTTTTACATAAGAATATTCAAGAACCTGTTCAAGAACCCAGTTTGTATTTTCTATACAGGAAAATAAAAATAATTACAGACTTGATACAGACCTTTCAGGGTAAGTTCCTTATTGACTTCATAGCCACAAAACATGAAATACTCTAAGTGGAATATGATTTCATGTATGTAAACCAAGAATATCACTTACTAGTACCTTCCAGTACAAAAAACACTGGGAGGCAGCTGGGTTTCACAGGAGGAATCATAACATGCACTGAGCAGGAACAGGATGAGCATCCCAGCATGGCAGGAACAAGATCTCTGCACAGACTAAGCAATTCCAAGTTCTGAGAGCATCCTGTGTTGTCATTAATGAAGTTATTCTTGGGCCTTTTTCACAGCTCTGCATTCAGACATGCCCAAGACACCCAGGACTTACACCATGAGTAACTGAACCTGCAGTATCAGCCCTGCAACCTGTAGGATATCAAAGTATTCCTTGTATTGCATTTTCTCCTATGTAATGACAAGTCTTACCTTCATTCCTTTAAGACCACCTTGAGCAAAAACAGGTTCTCCTTTAACGCCTTTTGGGCCAGGACGACCCTGGTTGTAAAAAAAAAAGGTAAAAAATTAATTTTGGGGAAAAAAAATACTGTTTTAGTTTTGAAAGAATCTATATTCAGCATAATGAACAAGGCAAACTCCTGGCTCCAGTAAACTGTAAAAGTACCACTGATCCTTTGTCAGAGAAGCTGTGCTATTGTGAGAACTAAAGACTTCCTGCAGCTTTAGAAACACAAGGTTCTGCAAACATCTCTGGAATTTTCCTGCTTATATTAGCTTTCCCTTTTATTTTAGGCCTTTGACAACTTTAGATCCCATTTGAATTCGTCTGACATGGTGTAACCCCCCTGTTCATATGCATAACAATGCATAACAGGCTTGATGGGTGGGCTCATACAAACCTCACAAATTTCAACAGGGCCAAGTGCAAGACCCTGCAACTCAGCTGGGGCAATCCCAACCACGGATTCAGGCTTGGCTGAGTGGATTGAAAACAGCCCTGGAGAAGGACTTGGGGGTACTTGTGGATGAAAAACTGAATATGAGCTGTCAATGTGCACTTGCAGCCCACAAAGCCAGTCCTGTGCTGGGCTGCATCCAAAGCAATGTGGGCAGCAGGTCAAGGGAGGGGGTTTTCCCCCTCTACTCTACTCTTATGACACCCCACCTGGAGTGCTGCATCCAGCTCTGGGGGCCACAACCTAAGAAGGATGTGAACCTGCTGGAGTGAGTCCTGAGGAGGAACTTTTTATCAGGAGGTGTAGTGATAGGACAAGGGGGAATGGCTTCAAACTGACATAGGGCAGGTTTAGATGAGACATAATGAATAAATTCTTCCCTGTGAGGGTGTTGAGGCACTGGCACAGGTTGCCCAGAGAAGCTGTGGCTGCCCCATCCCTGGAAGTGTTCAAGGCCAGGTTGGATGAGCACCACTCTCTGTGGAGCGCTCTAGGGGAGCCCAGTTCAGTAGATTAAACATATAACTTTAAGGTATCCAACACAGACAAGATGAAACTCCAACTTGGTGGTAGAGAAGTGTTTTCAAAAGTAACAGATATACTTACTTATACATACATATAAAATAAATACCCTGGAAAGTGAATTCTATTAGCAATCAGTGAGTCTGAAGCTTCTGGCTATCTTATGGTCTGAAGGAAGGCATCCGAAATTTGATGAATAGACTTGAACATCCTTTCCTGAATCAGCATTCACTAACTTAAAATGTGTCAGATAGAAGACGTTTCACACTTTCTTCTGAGTTGGCTTGAATAGTGCCAGTGACAATGGTATAATTTGGTGTGGGAGCATATTGAATCCACAGGATCTTCATTTTATCCTCAGAGTGGAATTTCAGTAAGAAAATTATACTGAGCTCTAACAGTTGCAATAAACTCAGGGTTATCCGGGTTCTTCCTAAGTACTTGGCAGTTAATTCTCCAGCAATGCCATGAGAAGTAAATCCTGGCTTAGTGACTACAGAACACCGCATTTGAGTCGGGACGTACAGGCAGCCCAGGTAGGCCAGGAAACCCATCTGATCCAGAAATGCCAGGACTCCCAGTGGTACCATTGCAGCCATCGAGGCCAGGCAGACCTCGAGGTCCAGGTTGCCCAGGGTGACCCTGTGTAAAGGGAAAACAAGAGAATGACTAATAGGATCAATTATTTTATTAGGAATACTGCTGTCTCCAGAAAACTGCTCTCTTCCTTCCAAATGGCAACGCAACCCAAAAGAAATGCACAACTCCCAGTCAAGCTCAGTGTATGGCAGACTGCAGCAGAACTAGCATCTTCAGCCAGCATTGTTTATCCTCCCTAAAGGTTAAATCCTAGAACACTGGTTGCATTCATCTGATTACCTTTTTCTCCAAGGGGTAATTTTCTGAAGTACATAACTTGTGCATGAGTAGGTCCCAAAAGGGCAATACTCATCCCACAGCAGTTCTGAAACATATGGCATGTAACAGTGTTAAACAGCACACAAGGGTGCACCTGACACCAGGAATGGGAGTTGCTCATGTGAAAACAAGAGCAGAGGCAGACTCAACAATACTGAGCATTTATAATTCCAATCTGCTTAGAGTTCCAGTGACTTCTCTTCCTCTCCAGCATGGATTCTTTCTTTTAATAGATCAACAGATGTTAAAGTTCCAGCATCAGGCCATTCAAGCAAAACAGCTTTACTTGTTATAGTGAACTTTAAACCTTAGGCAAAGCGACTGGGAGAAAGTACCAATTAAATTAACAACATTTTAAAAAAAGTATTTGTAATACCAATTATTAATCAAGCAGAGCAGAATTCAATTGTACCTAACTTTGATTTCACACCTCTTTTGCCCTGGTGCAGCTCTACTAATTTGACTGGAGTTCATGGTACTGGTGCAAAGGAGATCAAAGTTTGAGACTTTAGTTACTTTTTCTTCAGTGTCATACAGGTATGTGAGGCAGAACACACAAAGGCAGAACTATCAGACACACTGCCCAGGTTTCAAGCAGCTCCTTATTCTATACTCCTTTTCCTATAAATGAGTCCTGTGGTGCTCAAAGACAGTGTTTTGAGGCAGGAAATAAAATTAAACTTATGGAGACAGTATTGGTAACTTGACAGTTCTCTCCCTCCCCTCTGTACACAGTGATCTTGATTCATCCCAAAAGTACTTTTGTTTCATCCCAAAGATCCATCCTTAAGATATGGCACTAAACAAGGTATGACTCACACTAGTAAAGTAAAAAAAATAAACATGGATAAAATGGAGATAAAGCAGAACATTAACAATCCTTCATGCCTGACACTTAAAACAAAACACATTTGTATCACTGAAGGTCTTCCCAGTCCAAGCCAATAGCATATGCTCTGACCAAACTCAATCACATCTTGACAGTAAAGAAAAGCCTTTTATCTAAGGATCTTAAAATCCCTTGCAAAAATGTGGGAATGCTATAGCCTTCATTTTATGGATGGGAAGTTGGGGGCACACAGTAGCAGAGTGACTATCCCAAGGATGAAGAGCAACTTAGGCCCTAATTACATAAATACTCAAGCTGATCACTGGTCTCAGCTGCTGCCAGGAGCACTATTGCACACTCCTGCTTACTCAGAGCTACCTCCTCCCTGTGCTGCCACAGGCATAGGCAGAACAGATGAGTGAGAGAAGGAAACAAACACAGCAGAGAAATAACTTCTCTGTTTCTTAATGGGGTTAATTTTCAGCCAGATGAGGTCCTTGGTCCAGTTCATTTGACAACTGCATTGAAATTTGTGCCAACAAAATGGAGAGAGCTCAGATCTGCTTTTTCTGTCAGTCAATAAGGTACAAACTGAATGAATGTCAAGTGCATCTCAACCACAGGGTCAAGGCAGCTCATCCAAACAAGTTTAAATTTGAGATTTAACAAGGCATGGAATGAAGTCATCCCAAAGCATTAGCATCAGACACCACTGCATTAATAGTACCAGTTGCTCTGATGATTAAAGTCTGTTTGTCAAAATATCCACATGTGGTGTGCAAGCAGGGACTTGCCAGGCCCTGGTAAAGTAATAGGAGTAAGTTGAAGCACCAATTTATTGCCACTTGTGTTTGTCTCTTAGAAATTATTTAATTTGGTTCCCAAAGCAGGAACAAATCAGTGGCAACCCACCAGTGTCTACCAGGTCTCTCACTTTGTTTACAGCATCAACAAAACCAGGAGCTATGTGGGACAAGTGCACACATATCTGGTTACAGCATAAGGTGACCAGCTGCAAGGTTCAGTGAAGCTGAAGGGCCAACATCTGCCCCTCAGAGCGAGACACAGGGAGCTAAGCTGCTAAAGCTTTAGTGCTGGCCAAGAGCCAGCCCTGGCAGGCAGCTGACTGCTGTCCTCATGTCCTGGGAAACACTTTGAGTGAGATCTCCTACTCCTGCCGCAGTCTGTAAGTGGCCCAAAGGATTCTGGTATCCTCTTAATGTGTGAGAAGGGCTCATAGAGAGAGGATGTCAGGTATGCTGACCACAGGGGTTTCTTATGTGTGCTCAATAAATCTGTGCCCGTCACTTAATCCCATGGCATCCATATCTGTGGTTCTGAGCCAAAGCATGACACAGGCTGACACACAGGCACACACATACACATGCTGGCTCTTGCTTTAGGAAAAAAATCCACAGGGTTTTCCGACTTTCTAGCTAATCTGCTATCAGAATCCATAATGTTTTAAGAACCTTACCTGAGAAGATACTGAACACCCACAACTGACTTCCTTGAGAGTTGTAAAGTTCTGCCTTAAAAGACTTTTTCCCAAGGATTTAAAATACTGATTTAAAGAGCTGTTTTGACCTGAAAAAAATGGTGATTAATAGTTTCCTTGCTTTCACCTCCTCTAATTCCTGTTTTGGCAGATGTGCCAATTCAACACAAGCACCTCAACTGACTAAGGTAGAAGACTCACAGGCTTTACTTATACATGTCAGGGTGACTAATTTACAGATCTGAGTTAAAACACAGGCTGGAGAGGTCGCTTGTGGTCTCTGTTCTCACAAAAGGAGACATTCCGTGTGAGACAGATAAGGAAACTTGAACTGGTTATCTAGGCCCTCGCTTTATCTGCCTCCTGCTTGTACACTGACACTGTGATCCCAGGGGACCTCTTTTCTAAGTCAAACAGCACAAAGGCAATCCCAAGAGGAGAGCTCAACAAATATTTAAAAACAGAGAAACAAACGCAACTAAGGGTGAATACAAAACTAATTGAATAAACAGTTTTGTGGATTGCTACGGCAAAGTGGCCTTTCTACAGCCATCACCAAGTGCTTGTGTTTCCTCCAGGAGGGTCACAAAATGCCTCTTCATGTAGCTCTGGCTTTTGTGGCACAGACAAGGGCTCGCTTATCATAAAAATATTTCCTTTACAACTCCTTGGACAGTTCATGAAAAGCCATACATATTTCCCAGTTCCAGCCTTTGCCAGAGGTGTCCTTGAATCTTGTCCTATAGGAAAAAATAAACTTCCAGAGTAGGGCTAAGGATTTAAGGGTTTCTTCTACAGCGTGACATGAAAGCCCAGCAATAAACACATGTAGCTGCTGTATTTACTAGGTTAAAGGGATTAGTCAGGCCAGCTGCAACAACATGATTTACTTGCCACCCGCATTCCCCAAGGGAACTCTGTGGAATACCACTTCCCTTAAGGTCAATAGTGGGATTCCCCTCTGCATAACAGTCTTGCAGTCCTTTGGAGATGACTAAACCATACCTGCCCAGGCTAACATACCAGCACACTACAAAGAATCTCCCTTCATATTCAGGTGTGAATTCTTGTGCAGAGAAAGCAATATATTTTCACTTCTCTCTTTCATCTCTCAGCACACGCATGCACTCTCTCCTTTGCTCTGAATTTCACACATCCATACAATGTGCATATGTTTGTACACATTTCACAAACCCAAGCTATTCCCTACCCTGAAATGCAATGGTAGAAGTAAAAATATTTTCTCAAGCAGTGGTGGGTGCTATTTTCACCCCACAATCGAAGCGTTAATCTCAGTGGCTAGAATGTAACCAGTAGGAATTAGTTTCCCTTCCCCCTTTTTCTGCCCTGCAGTTGTGGCACAGAAGAGACACAGCGTTGAGCACTTTGCTGTTCATGACCAGCAAAATCTGCCTCTTTGCCATTCACCCACCTGCAGAATACTGTGAAGCAGAGAGAGTAGATCTGCATATGCTGATATGCTGGAGGCTTTGAATCCTCTCATCTGCCTCCCCTACTCACTCCTTGGAATGCCTGTCGCTGCCAACTACCTGGCATTGGCTGTTGCTGTATCTCTGCCTCCCCTCACTGTTGGGAATCCCCTTTCTCCAGAGCCTCATCTGCAAAAATACCCTGAGAACAGCATGTTCCCACAGTGTGTTCAATTAAATTAAGTATTATGGGAACAGCTTGTTCTCTTCAGACCTAGAGAGTTGGCTGGTGGTAAAAGAAAAAAAAATAGCAGCAAGGGAGTAGAGCAGGAGAGAAAACAGGCAAGGATGAGCAGAGGGGGAGTGAAGGACAAGGGCCAGGAAGGAACTGGAATCAAGCAAGCTCATTTATAGGGCCAACTGAACATTTTCAGCCAATCTACCACAACAACTCAGTTGATAGGAAGTAAGAAAACACAGCTCAACAGTTGGAGCTCCTGGCCAGCTGAGGAAGCTAGGAAGATGAGTAGGAGTATGAGTATAGTCTGAAGGCACAATGATACAGAAAATGGAAACATATCATCAAGAAAATAAAAAGAATTCTAATATCAGAAGGAGAAAGCAGGATGAGCTAAATAATGTCGGAAGGGCAAGAAAGTTTGGGGCAACTTCTAAAGCTGGCCTGGTTAAAATTCGCCTGAGGTAAAGCAAAAATCTTTGCAAAAATCACTGGGGAAAACCAAAGCAAAAGAAAGCTGATCAAAACACTCTAGGCACACAATTTTTGTAAACAACTGTCACTAGAATGTTAAAGTCCTAAAGAATGGAAGAAACAAGAAATTCTTGATGGTCAGGGAAAGTGGTTACCGTGGTTAGCTACCTCTACCACCTGATCTAAACCAGAACTAGAGCCTAGTGAAGTAAGGATTCTCTGAAGGACCTCAGCTCTCATCACTGTTTTCAATCATATCATAGCAACAGATGATTGAGGGAGACCTGATAACAGCTATCACATACAAGAAGGCTACCGCAAAGAAAAAATGAACAACCTTCTCTCCGTGTTCCTGACCAGTAGCAAGAGAAACCAAGAAGTTTAAACTGCAGAAAGACTGAAGTTAGGCATTAGCAAAGCTTTTCTAACAGAGAAATTCATCTCCATCATCACACGGTTTTAAGAATTGATTAGGAAATACCTCCTAAGAATGGCCTGAAGCACAGCTGATCATGCCTGTTTGGCTCTCTGAGGTCCCTTTCTATTCTGTAAGTCTGTGATTGTATGATACGGTCTAGACATAGTGCTGAGGGAACATGGTGCTGAAAGAAAAGCTTATCAATGATGCAGTGGATCCCCATGTAACTCAGGCTCACTTCCTCAAAGGTGTCAACTTTCTATTATCCTGTAAGAGGACCCAAACCTCTTACAAAGCAGCATGGACTCACCAGGTAAACCAACAAACACTGCCATTGTCCTCCAGAGAAAAGCAAGCAATTGCAAGGGACACTATGCATGTGCTAGGACAGTCTCATTGTGCTTTTGTTTGTGACTAACATTCTGGGAATTTATATCTATACGTGCAAACTTACTGGGATCCCGTTGATGCCTTGAAATCCTGGAACTCCCATTGGACCCTGTGGAAAAAGAGTACACATTATACTTCATATCATCACTCGGTATAATGCAGTTACCTGGGAGATATTTTTCCCTCCCACACTTCTGGTTTAGGACTTCAGCTTTCAAAACCACAATGAGCAAACGTTCCCATGCAGATTCTCTCTGACCACAGGGGTCAGTGAAGATAGGAACTGAGCATCTGAGCCTGACTGGATGCCAAATGAGTGTTTCTGGAATGTTTTAATCAGGCAATTTAAAGTAAAAATATAATCTCCTACTGCACATCTGGGGAAAACAAGATGCCAGGAAAATAAACAATCTGGTATAAACTTAACTCTCAATGTCACACTTGACTTTCCAAGAGTTTCAACAGGACTTATGTGTTTTTCTGTCTGTATGTGGATAGGACTCCCAAAGATATGCAGACCACTGAATTAAGTTCAGACCACCCTGCCCAAGTCACAAGTAATTGCCACACTGTTGGTTTTACTTCTCTGCTCTGGATAGTTCCAAAACAGACTGTGTAAGCAGAATATCCAGCCTAAATTGCTCTTGCTTTGGAAAGGTAAAGTATATTGCTTCCACAAAGGATAAAGAGAGAGAGAATCTTATGGCATGCTGGTATTGCATATGTACCCATTTCAGTGGACAGAAACAATTCTGGAGTAAATAAGGGATATTTTGAGTGCAAGGAAATTGGTTCCAATCGTTAAAGGATCCAGCACTTTGCATCAAACAGACTGGCAGGATCTCTAGATAGTCCCAGAATGCAAGTCTGCGTCCCAATGTCTCAGACGTCCTCCAGATTTTAGAAACCAGGCACAGCATGAAGATGAACTACTCACATATATCCAACTCTTTATTACAGAAAGCACTTTTTCATACTTCCATTCATTCTTTTGTCTAGCTCCAAACTCCCCATTTGATGCTTCCTTCCTAAGAAAAGACAGCAGGACGGATCCTGTGGGCATTGAGACATTTCTCTGTTTGCTGTTCTGCCTGTTCTTGCACACTGAAATCATTGACACCTACCCCTTATGGGCTGCTCCATTTAATATGACATAGTTTATAATATTCTTTCTGTTAGAAATAACTTTGCACCTGCCAAAGACTGCTTGCAACAGCAATAGTCATTGGGCTATGGTTCACCTACCAGGACAGGTACAGTGTTCAGCAGCTTTGGGATCTGTATTCTCATTCAAAAATAAATGCAGACAATTCTCTAAAGAGAAATACTTGAAATGCTGTTGTGTTCTTACCCCTGGACAGGTAGTCTAAGATTATCTTTATTCATCCAAAAATATATACAAGGCCATAGATCTATTGCAGGGACAGAAAAGTAACCATTGAGCTTACCTTGTCACCTTTCTGTCCAGCTGGTCCAGGGGGGCCCACTGCTCCTCTCTCACCTTTTGCTCCTGGCAAACCTTCTGGGCCAGTAAATCCAGGTGCTCCTATCGGTCCTTGAAGCCCAACTGGTCCTGGTCGCCCCTAATATAGAATAAAAAATAAATCAATGCACCACATTCATAAACTCCCTTGTAATTACTCTTTCTGATTCAATTTCTAATGCAATTTGATACATCTCAAGGTTTTTAGGACATCCTAAAGTTTTCCCTGTACATTCTCAGATAAAGAGTTGTTAGAGGTTATTTCAGGTAAGTCATAGAATCATAGAATAGAATATCCTGAGTTGGAAGAGACCCACAAGGATCACTGAGTCCAACTCCTGTTGCTGCACAGGACAACCTCAAGAGTCACATTATGTGCCTTAGAGCATTGTCCAAACACATCTTAAACTCAGACAGGCTTGTGCTATGACCACTTTCCTAGGGAGCCTGATACAGTCCTGAACCACCCTCTGCATAAGGAACCTTTTCCTAATATATAAACTAAACCTCCCCTGACACAACTTCAGGCCACTCCCTCAGGTCCTGTCACTGGTCACAGAGAGGAGAGATCAGTACCTGCTCCTCCTCTGCTGCTCCCATGGCTTCCCCTCTAGACCCTTCACCAGGACTACCTTTGGACACTCTCTAACAGCTTCATATATTTCTTATGTTGTGGTATCCAAAACAGCACACAGCCCTTGAGGTGATCCTGCACCAGCGCAGAGTGGGACATTCACCTGCCTCAACTAGCTGGTGATATTGTGCTAAACATTAATGTTGGAAAATTCCACCAAGATCATCAAACCTTTGACTGAATACCATCATGCCCACTAAACTGTACTGCCAAGTTCCACATCTACTTGTTTTCTGAACATTCCCAGGGATGATGACTCCTCTACTGCCCTGGGCAGCTTGTTCCAGTGCTTAACCACTCCTGCAGTGAGGAAACTTTTCCTAATATCCAACTTGAACTTCCCCTGACCCAGATTGAGGCCTTTTCCCCTCACTAGTCCTATGGCTAGTTGTCTAGGAGAAGAGACTGATCCCCACCTCAACCACAAGCTCCTTCCAGATGGTTGTAGAGAGCGAAAAGGTCGTCCCTGAGCCTCCTTTTCTCCAGGCTAAACACCCCCAGCTCCCTCAGCCGCTCCTCATATGACTTGTGCTCCAGACCCTTCAGCTGCTTTGTTAGCCTTCCTTGGACACGCTCCGGCAACTCAATGGCCTGAGTTACAGCAGAAATCTCCCTTTTCCCGGGCAGGAAGGAGCGCCGCGCTCTCCCTCAGGGTGCAATGGCGGGGCACTGCCGGCAGATGGAGCAGCTCCCGCAGCCGCAGGGATGTATCAGTGGAAAATGCAGTTTATGGCTGTGCTGTCTGTGGTACAAAATGCAGTTCATGGCTATACTGCCTACGGTACAAAATGCAGTCTATGGCTTTGTACCACAGACAGCATAGCCATATACTGAATTTTGTACCACAGACAGCATAACCATGTACTGCATTTTGTACCATAGACAGCATAACCATGTACTGCATTTTGTGCCATAGACAGCATAGCCATAAACTGCATTTTGTACCACAGACAGCATAATGCAGTTCATGGCTATGCTGTCTATGGCACAAAATGCAGTTTATGTCTGTGCTTTCTACTAAAAAGACAGTCAGTGGATTACATGAATTATCTGCGCAAAGAATCAAGACTTACATTAAAATATATAGAATGGAGGAGGAAGTTAAAAAAACCCAATCCAGACACAAAAATCCCCTTCCTTTTAATTATGCTCTACACTCATGTCCATGGAAGTGTTTCCCTTCTATTTCCCTAACTCCGTAAAACAGCAGAAGGAATGCAGCTCCCTGCTGCAAGTGTTTTAGTAATCTCAGCTGGAGACACACAGACTCCATGGCTTGGCAGGTAAAAGACTTTTACAGTTAATTTAAAAATGCATTGTTACATGTTTAAAATCAAGCAAAGGGGAAAAAAAGCATAATTGATTTTAAAAATCCTTTTTCCAGGATCATTTTTACTACCTGCTTAGGCTAAAATATTTTTTTCAGTATTCCATGTTTCTTCACTACTGGAGTAGTTTTAAGTGCCACAATTCTCTCACGTCACTCTTTCTGTTGTGATTGTTTCATCCTGGCCTTTTAACTGAGGTCAAGTGCATGTTTGATATTTCATACCTTTTCTGTCTAGACACTGTTCATAGTATATACTTCCAGAGGCACAGACTCCCATCTGAAAAGGCTTTTCTGTTGATTAATTTTAGCTCTCTTCACTCTGGGCTAATTATCAGTGGAATCCTTTATATTGGGAACCATACAATCAGAACATTAATCCCCAAATCTTCAGTGGTCCTTGGCAACCATACACAAGAAGCATGTTACAAAATCACATGCTTTGCTCTCACTTTCAGTCTCAGCTTTAACTTTTTAATTTCCCATAATCACTAGATATTCAGAGTCTTTCAGGCAACAACTCACAAATCATGGATTGTGGACTGTTTACCTCAAGGCAACACAGCACTGACCAGACATACCCTAAAAACAGGCACATTACAGTTATAGCCAACCACCACCACAAAAGCAACAGCATCCAAGAGTCCACCAAGGTTTCCAAGGTGAATTCCTCACTTGTTTGAATTGCTAATACTTCTGTATTCAATTAGTTTGATTGCCTGGTTAATGATAGTGTTTCACAATGACTGGAACTGATAGGAATTAACATTCTAGGAGGCTTTTGTTTTACTCTCTAAGATGGGGCAGTAAAGACCAGCAACTACACCTTCTGCTTGTGTTTGGATGAGCAGGGCTCTGACAGAAGAATTAAACATGTTCTCTGTGATTTCAGGGCCCACAGCTAAAAAGCTCTCTTTGCCTTAGTGCCCTACAAGAAAGATTTTAACAGCACTTGAAGACTTTGTCCAGTGTCATAGAGTGTCACTAAAGCGTAAGGACACAGTAAAGTGCTTCTAATCTCTCTGATAATGTGATTATGCCATGATAATCAGGCTCTCAAGAATTCTCACTGTTCCTTTTGAAGTCTATGTGGATGGAAATCATGTTTTCTACGCTGAAACAAAGGACTTGCCTCCACTGCTGAAAAAGGAGCATTTTTCGTCACTCAGTAGCACTCCCATGAACTGTTCCAAGAGCAGTGCATTATAAAGAGCAGGCACGGTGGCTGCAGAAGCAATTCCAGGATAACAGCACAAGGAAGACTCAGGTTTTACCACAAGGTAAACTTACAGAGTTCAGTACCAGGTGAAACTACTGTCTGACCTCAATGAGTTTACTTTGTGGTAAAAAGTTAAGTGCCTAGTCTTTACTGTGCTTTGGCATCAGGACTGCTCTTAATCAAAGGATAAAAAGGATAAGACACCTCTTAGCAGTGAGGACAAGCTTAAATATAAAACGTGGATTACATCAAACAAAACCTACAATTAATCAATGGAGCTCCATATTTTTCATCCTTAATATTCAAGATGTAGTCCAGTAGCCTGTAGAAAAGTCATTAGTAATTGCTGCAAATTGTATAATTTTGTCTTCCTGGCTGCACAACAATCATGTTTAAAAAGAGGAAAATTATAGACCGCTAGTAACATCAAGCAAGAAAAAAGCCAATGAAATTACTGTGACTTGTGAATGTTTTCTCAAATGCCCACTCAAATTTCATATATCTGAAAACTGCGACCTGTGTTCTCAAACATATTTGTGTACTGGGCTTTTACTGTGCTGCAGCACTAAATGAGATGCCTGTCTGTAACAAATATGGTGCTGGTAAAAACCAGCATTATTTCTTTACACACCCGGGGTGTTTCCACAGATAATTTCAGGACTTTGACCCGGTTTGTGTCACAAGTTCAGCATGAATCGTATGCATCTCTGTTATGCACATATCCATTGCAGACCATTAAAAATACACAGCTGGCTCAGAAATGCAGCTTTTCATACTCAATGTGTGGTAAGCAAGAGGAAAAAATGGCTGGAACAGGAATCTCCCATTGCTTCTGAGTCATCACACTGCAGAAGGTGGTAAAATCAGTGTCCTGAAAGTGTAATTTGATGGCAGTGTCTTTCAAGATGGAAAAGGTTCTGCAGCATCTACCTTCTTCTCTACACCCTTTTAATTCATCTGCATCCCAGGGTGTCATGAGGAAAGTCCACTACGCTGGATAATGATGGAGCCTCTCTACTGCTACACAATCAGACACATCACAGTTTCTCTATTGTCCCTATCCCTTTTGCCAACTCTAATACCTCACATAAATTTTCGCCCACTGAAGCAGAGCTGCTACACATAGCATTGCAAATTCCAAACATTCCTTATTTCCCATTGCCTCTGTGAGCTTGGAGAATAAAGCGTAAACCTATTTGATTTGTCCATTTGATTTGTCACTGTGCAAAGGAACACACGTGGCAGTGGTATGGAACCACTGGACACGTCCCTTATTTCAAGGACAAAAAACAAATACATACTTACCGGCCTGACTCCCTGTCAAATACCAGCTCAGTGATTCATCACCACAAAAGATACTGGGACTCACTAAGTGAGTGAGATAAATCTAGCAGGTCTACTAACTAAGCAGAAAATATCACTGCTGAGGAAGGGCAGAACTGATCCCTACTTCTGCTAGTAAATTTGTAGACTGTCATATTTCAAGCATCAAAGCACTATTAATTTTCTAAGCAAAATTAAGTTCCTGTGTATGAGAAGAGCAATTGAATTTAAAGATGCTCATGTTTCTTCAAACTAACACATAGTTTCTTCTCTATGAGAATTCAGTGACCACATTTTTAAAAAGGGTCTTATTCACATTCTCTATTCCTTCAATCATTATTTCCCCCTTAAACCATGTTTTATTGACACAAAAAATTGCTAGTGAAAGATTTACTTCACAAGAAAATGCTTTGTAGTTGGAAGCATCTTATACTTGTTTGAGTACATTAAGGTAAACCATTAAGTCATTATGGCCCTAAAAACGTATGTGTTTATATACTCTAAGCACAATCTAGACTGAAGCCTTTAAGGAAGATCTATGTACCTGATTCCCATGTTGTACAGGACTGCCTGTACAAGGGACTGATCCTTCAGGAT